AAAAGAAAAAGAAATAATAGCTATAAAAGTAAAGGAAAATATCACATTCAGGGAAGCAAGACAACGGATGTCGTTAACATTGGCACTAAAAACACCTTTCGCCGAAGTGGTGCAACGAGGGGCGGCACCACAAAGGCCCTTGGCAGTTGCTCGGACCGCGCCTAGCGTGCCGAGGCCAACGCCACAAGCCCCTACGGCGGGAGCAGCCAGCGCTGCCCTGCCCACATTCACCCTGTCCACACCAGTGGCCTCTACAAGCTCTGGCAGCAGCCAGGGCAATCACGAGGCCAAGGGGGCTTCATCAACCCCCAGCTCGGTGGGGACAAAGACTTCGTCGATCGAGGCGAAGTCTAAGCGACACACAGATCGCTCTTTAGAGCGGGTGTCCAGTGCCTCGCAAGAGGCTATGGACACCAGTTCAAGCCAAACGGCGCAGGAAGCGCCGAAGGAGCGGCGAGCTTCGCTCGACCGCCCCAAAAAGGACAGAACGCCGATTACAGGGCCTGACAAAGGCCCTGTAAAATGAGTTAATCCCCGTCTTCTTTGCACACAGCACTTTTTCCTTTTTTATTTCCACAATGGACAAAATCATACAGTGGAACGTAAGGGGAATGCTTAGAAATTTAGATGACATCCAAGAGCTTCTGTGTAAGTTTAACGCGAAAGTGCTATGTGTGCAAGAAACGCACTTAACTCCTAAGCACAAGGACTTTCTACGACAATATATTATTTTCCGGAAAGACCGGGAGGATCCTGTCGTACCATCTGGCGGTGTAGCCATTATAGTCGATCGTAGTATAGCATGCCAGCATTTGAAGCTCCAAACGGCCCTGGAAGCAGTGGCCATTCGAGCTGTACTTTTTAACAAACTCATTACCATATGTTCTGTGTACATACCACCGCATCAACAGCTACACAGACGTGATCTGGAATCATTAATAGATGAACTCCCAGAGCCATTTCTGGTTCTAGGTGATTTTAATGCACACAATGTCCTGTGGGGCGATGCTCACTGTGATGCGCGAGGACGTCTCATTGAGCAGCTCCTTTTCTCTTCTAGTTTATGTCTTTTAAATATGAAGGAGCCTACATATTTTAGCCTTGCAAACAACACATACTCCTCCATAGATCTTAGCATTTCATCACCGTCCCTTTTACCTGTTTTTAAGTGGAACGTTCTTAAAAACCCTTATGGGAGTGATCACTTCCCAATCATCCTGAGTGCGCCGAACAAAGATCAACTACCCCCGCAGGTTCCTCGATGGAAGATTGACTCAGCTGACTGGGAAGGGTATAGAACTCTTACACACATGACATGGACTGAGCTGTCTGCCCTGACCATAGATGACGCTGTCACGTATTTTACAGCTTTTATACTTGATGCCGCATCTAAATGTATTGCCAAAACGAGTGGTATGTGTTCTAAACGGCGAGTCCCATGGTGGAACGACGCATGCAGGAAAGCGCGGACCACTCAGAACAAAGCATGGGCGTTGCTTCGCGATTCCCCTACAGCAGAAAACCTGGAAAATTTCAAGCGGGTCAAATCGCAGGCAAGGAGAACGCGTCGACAAGCTAGACGAGAGAGCTGGACAAAGTTTATATCGAGTATCAACTCGTACACAGGCGAGGGAAAAGTGTGGAATAAGATAAAGAAAATTAAGGGCCAACAAACGTATTCTCTTCCACTAAGTAATAGCCTCGGGGAAAGCTTGGAGGATCAAGCCAACTTTCTTGGCACACATTTCGAACACATATCGAGCTCCTCAAACTACTCCGAATACTTTCAGAATTACAAGGCACGAACAGAAAAACAAAAGTTAGAAAGAAAGTCCGCAAGAAATGAGGCATATAATGCACCATTCTGCTTAGCAGAACTGCGAACAGCACTCAGCTGCTGTAATACATCTACCCCAGGTTCTGACAACGTAATGTACGCGATGCTGAAGGAACTACCCTCCGAAACTAAAGAAACCCTCCTCTCTCTTTATAATCGCATATGGTTTTCGGGCGTGATCCCCTCCTCCTGGAAGGAGGCTGCTTTAATTCCAATTTTGAAGCAGGGAAAAGATCCCTCTACTGTATCAAGTTACAGACCTATAGCGTTAACAAGCTGCCTCTGCAAGCTATTTGAAAAAATGATTAATTGCCGCTTACTCCACTACTTAGAAACAAACAAATTGCTCGACCCATACCAATGTGGGTTTCGAGAGGGTAGATCCACCACCGACCATCTGGTGCGTATCGAGGCACAGATCTGAGACGCTTTCGCCCGCAAACAATACTTCCTCTCTGTGTTTCTCGATATCGAGAAGGCCTACGACACAACATGGCGTTTCGGCATATTAAGAGACTTGTCTCACCTGGGTGTGCGCGGTAGAATGCTTTCCATAATTGAGAGTTACTTGTCCAATCGGAAATTCCGTGTCCGTGTGGGCAGTATCCTCTCCCAAACATTTGTGCAAGAAACGGGGGTACCACAAGGTGGTGTACTTAGTTGTACACTTTTTATTATCAAAATGAATTCTTTGCACCTGTCCATCCCCCGCAACATGTTCTATTCCACATATGTCGATGACGTCCAGCTTGGCTTTAAGTCATGCAACCTAGCAATGTGTGAGCGGCAGGTTCAGTTAGGTTTAAACAAGGTGTCCAAATGGGCAGAGGAAAACGGATTCCGGCTGAACCCAGAAAAAAGTACCTGTGTCTTGTTCTCCCGAAAGAGAGGCGTGTACTCAGAACCTGACATTGAACTGAACGGTCAACGTCTGTCTGTCAATGCGGAGCATACATTCTTAGGCTTAATCTTGGACAACAAGTTGACCTTCGTACCGCACATCAAGTATTTAAAAACAAAATGTTTAAAAGCCATGAATGTTATAAAAGTGTTGTCACATACTACGTGGGGTAGTGATAGGCAATGCCTCATGAACCTCTATAAAAGCCTCATTTGCACCCGCTTAGATTATGGGGCCGTTGTCTATGGGTCTGCTACTCAAAGTGCCTTGAAGATGCTGGACCCCGTGCACCATTTGGGCATCCGCCTTTCTACGGGTGCTTTTCGCACCAGCCCCGTAGAAAGCCTTTATGTTGAGTCAAATGAGTGGTCGCTTCATCTGCAAAGAACCTACATGTCCTTTGTATACTTCCTTAAGGTGAAAGCAGACAAGAGGCACCCCTCATACTCTACTATTAATGACTTGCCGAGCTCCATTCTTTTTCAAAACAGGCCTTCAATGAGGCAGCCCTTCTCAGTTCGCCTGAAGGGTCTAGCTGAGGACATTGGAGTGTCACTCGAACACAGTTTAATGGCTCCTGTAGCATACCCGCCACCATGGCAGTGGCAGACTATAGACTGCGATGTGTCTTTTCTAGAGGTTACAAAACATGCGCCCATTGCCCATATCCGAACATATTTCCTGGAACTTCAACAGAAATACACACGTCCTGAGTTTTTTACAGATGCCTCCAAGTCTAACTCCTCTGTGTCCTACGCTGCTGTTGGCCCTTCCTTTTCGGATGCGGGCCCTCTACATCCAGGCACAAGTATCTTCACAGCGGAAGCTTACGCGATACTTGTGGCAGCTAAACACATTAAACAATTACAAATACAAAAAGCAGTAATTTATACAGACTCCCTCAGTGTGGTAACGGCTCTGCACAGTCTTAAAAAACAAAAAAACCCTGTCCTCGTTTCACTTTACTCCATTTTATGCACACTCTACACACTCAACCAACATGTTGTAGTGTGCTGGGTGCCAGGGCACCGTGAGATCCAAGGCAACGAGAGGGCAGATCAGCTCGCTGCATCCGTCCATGAGAGCACCGCCATTACATCCATATCAATCCCGGCCCTTGATCTTAAGCCGTCTCTCAAACGAAACCTCAGGGACTACTGGCAGAGCAAATGGGATACACACACACAAAACAAACTACACGTTATCAAGCCACACCTTGGCCATTGGCCACCAGTATCAAAATCACGTCATACAGAGGTAATACTAACGAGACTCAGGATAGGACACACATACACGACACACTCATATCTTTTGTCCAATGGCGACCCACCATTGTGTGACAGATGTGGTGAAGCACTAACAGTTCTTCACATTTTAATTCAGTGCAAGCAATTGGACAGTATAAGAAAACAACACTTTCCATTACCCTACCGACAACATATACCTTTACACCCTGCAATGTTCGACGGTAGGGAACCGCTTTTTAGTTATAAATCATTGCTAGCGTTTTTAAAAGAAACTCATAGTTTTCATATCATATACCCCGGCATTCCGTAGCACGACCTCTCCTGAGAGGTTTTTGCTGCGGTGGCTACACAAGAAAGCACGTGCCTCACGGCCCTTGGACGCAAGGGTATGAACGAGTGAGGCACTTGTGCTAATGCCATACGTATCCACCATCGTCTTTTATTATCACCAACTTTGTTCATCTATTCGCACCCCACACACCTTTCACGGCATGGTCATGATTTTATCACTTGTATGTTTTTACCCACATTACCGCGAGGAATTCTATGGCCCTTATACAGCCGCTAATCACAATCATTGTCCACATTCCTGTCTCATGAACTGGCGCTCTTTGGCCATCAAATGGCCCTTGCGCCAAAAAACACCATATATCATCATCATGCTCCTCCTCGGTGCTCATGTACTCGTGCATCGAGGAGGAGCAAACAGGCTATATTGGTGCATCACATGACCAGACGAGAACATTCATGTCAAACTTAACACTGGGGATTACCAAAATCTCCATACTGGAGCAGGGGGTTGTTTCTTGAAATTTCGGGTATGCCCGTGGCACATAGAACTGCCGAGTTTGACATAATATTCGTCAGGACAACACACCGAACTTGACGCTCACATTTACTTGAAACGTTAAAAATTATCGGAGTTGGTTTAGAGGCTCTTCAAGAAGTCCTGTCCACAAACGTGAGTGTGGGTAGCTAAGAGGTTGTTCACATATTCACTTGTTTCCGCATACAGGTGGCGCAGCTCTTGAAGCAGGCCGAAGGAGTGCTGACGCTAATTGTGGCGCGGCCCATGGGTAATGTGGTTCCCCTGCTCAAGAAGAAGGCAGCCTCCATAGAAAGCCAGGAGCCCTCGCGGACGGTCCCGTCAAACCGCAAAAGTGAGTGCGTCACGACACCTGCCATCTCGCATCGTCACATTGAATGCCACTCGCATGGCTTGCTATTGCGTGCTCGTGTTTGCACGTTGATACGCATGTATCGTTGCATCGACATAATGCAGTTGTAATTAAGGCTGCGGGGGTGCTCCGGATGTTCATGCATGAAAATTTGTTGTGGAAGAGGCGGCACGGCCCAAGCCTTTGTGGGAATATGGGAATTGCAAAACCACACAAACGAAATATTAGTACTTGGTCGAATGTAAATGCGGTGAATGCTGAAATTCAACCAAATTTTATTTACAAAAACAAATTGTTTATGTACAATGAACAAAACACTATAAACCACTTTTCTGTAATTCATGTTTTCATTGCTGCAGGTAATTTTCTGTTCATTTCTCATTATGGTCTGTGTATGCGAAAATAACACACCTTCGACTGTTAAAATTCAGATAAAGTTTAGCGTTCATACTATTTAAATTTTGTCCTTGTTTTTGTGGTTTTGAGTTGCCCGTAATCGCGGACCTAGCTGCCTATTCTTTTTTTTCTTACACCCACCGCCCACCCACTTTTTCCTTTCTCTCACAATGATGATGCACTGTTGTAGCCAAAGGAAAGCGATGATCATTCTCCTGACTGTGGTCATTCCTTTAGCACACTCAAGCACCTGAACCTGCAGAAGTGTGAACATTGGCATCTGTCCATGTGACGCAATGCATCAAATGAGCATTGCACTTCTGTCTGTATAAGTCAGTCTTTACAGACCAAATTCAAATGGGAATTGACACTCGCCGCTGGTTACGTGAGATACTGACCTCTTTTTTTAGCATTGAACTTAATTCTTTGCCAAACAATGGCGTAGCGAAACATTGCACAGTATGAACACTTGGCCAAGAGAACAACTGCAAGACAACCTTTGATTCTCCATTCTTCATCCTGCCTTTACGATATTCGAAATTCTGCTGTTGACAAGATGTACCAATCATACCCAAAGAAAATGGTGTTTTGCTTATTGGTCTGGAAAATTCTTTATTCTCCATTTTCTTTGGAATGTTTTGGTTGGTCTTGGATGAAGTGTAAAACTGGAGCACATTTAATCGATTGTGTCTGCATCACAGTACCATACATCTGCTTTTTGAGCATCGCTTAAAGCGTTGTTAAAGCAAAGAGAGCCAACACTACTCTGGGAAGCGGGAGAGGAAAATGCACATGATTTCTCATTGAACAGTGTTCTTATTATGGGCACTAAAAAACATGGAAGCCATGAAGAAAGAAAGGCGTTTTTTAGCATATACTAGAGGGCACATGTGAGAATTGCAGTGTCAAGACTATGTTACATGATACTACTATAAATGCCAGCTAGTTTTCAATATTCAGGTTGTCTAATGGTCACATCACTTACCAATGAAACAGAAAGGTTTGAACATTGTGTTGAGCGATTGGAAAGCCGAAGTCGTTTGATAAGCAAATAAATGATAAACTAAGGGACTTAATTAATAAAACATTTTACTTGTACATGTGACAATACATTGCTGAATGGAGGAACTACAGGAAAGAACATTTTGCTTTGGCCTGATCACAGAGGGGCGAGTGAAATCTGTCACCTTCTGAGACTTCGGTCATTTCAACCCTTAACCCGGGCAGGTACTTCAGTCTGAACAGAAACTGATATGCTTGCAAGCAGCAACGACCGCTGCCATATTAGCAACGAATGATGATGGTGATCAATAATTATCAACACTACACGTGTCAGTTTTGTAAAAATTCGGGGCTATCATATGCTGAAATTTGACAGGGGAATCAGGCAATGGGAGCAAACGACCTGTGACGCCCAGTGAAAATCTTTCTCGCTGCTCTCATCCTCTCTAGGGCTGGGGACAATACGCTGGCTTCATGACTTGCTTCGACGCAAGTCAACCGATGATGCACAGAGTTATCTTTAAAGCACACACACCTGTCTGGGAGTGACTGCATTTTGCGGCACATTGCCTGAGCTGTGGTCTCCAAACTGTTCACGGTGCACTGTAGTTCTGAATGAGCCTCTCAAAAAGTTCAGTTGAATGAAACTGGAGAACTTGTGGGACAAATATACTCACAACACAGGCAACATTTGGTGCATTTCATCCTGGTTAACAACTATGCTAAAAGGGACAATATTAATGATAACTAACAGGCAAAGAGAGAGAGAGAGATACATAGAGGAAAGACAGGGAGGTTAAGCAGAGGAAGACTGAACTAACACGACTGTGATGCCAAGGAAAGTATAGGGGATGTTATAAGTAATTGTAATGTATTGTGAAGACACACAAAATGTGGATGAAAAGATAACTTGCCACGAGTGGCAGGTTATCTTTTCGAGTTTTCATTCACTTTTTTTTTTCTTTTTTCAATTTGGCGGTTCACAAAAGGATGAATTAGGACATAGTGGTCGCCTTGCAACTGTACTTACTGTAGGCATTTTAGGTAGTTTGAGACAGCCAACGATATGCACACAGATGTTCGTTTCCTTGCAGCAGAGTGAGGTATCAGCCGAGAACTGAAGCTAATCTAGCAATTGAAATGGCGATGTATAAGTGGTCGGATTATGCTATCACATTCTATCGTGAAGGTGAAGATGTGTAGCATCCATCGAGCTCTTTTGTGGCAATTTAGGTTGATAATTCCTGCCTAAATTGTGAACAGCACGGTCAGTCTGTCGTCATAACTTCTAGTCTTTTTACGTTAACCAACATCTCGTGACATGTTTTGGCTGGCAGTCACATCCTTCAAAAAGGCATCCAGATTTAGTCAGCATAAGAGGATTAAGCGTATCAAGTTTATTATTTATTATTATTTACAATGCCTCAATGGCCCCAATGAAGGGGTTTTAAATGAGAGATGGGCTATTACAATGTGTTAAAAAGTAATATGCTCAATCGCTGCTTTGAAGTTGATACTGGAGTGGTGCACAACATCAGAAGGAAAGTCATTCCAATCTTGTGCTGTCGTGACAAAAAGGTCGAAATGTGCGCAGTGGTGTGAGCAGTTAGTGGTACACAGCTTTCGCATGGTTGATGCAGTTAGAATGACGATGGGCTGGCTTAATGGTGGAAGTATGAGGTGATGCATGGTAGAGCTTGAAAAACAGACACATACTAGCTATACAGTAGTGGGACGAAAGGGCAGTGAGGTTAGCATGAGATTTAAGTTCGGTCATACTTGACTGATATGAGTAATCTGAAAAGACAAATCTTGCTGCCTGGTTTTGCACTGTTTCCAGTGTTTCACTGTTGTTACACTGATGAGGGTCTCAAACGGCACATGTGCATTCAAGTTTTGGTCTGATTAGTGTATTATGAGCGAGTAGTTTGATGAGGGTAGGAGTTAGATAGAGGTTTTGACATAGACAGCCAAGAGCAGAGTTTGCTTCGTTAGTAATGTGGGTTATGTGAAGAGACCATGTTACATTGGAAGATAAATTGACACCTAGATACTTGTATGTACCTGCACCTTGAAAGTTTCAAAATGTGTGGTTCATGGTGTGCACATGAGCATGACACATCTGGCAGATGCCAAGTTTTGGAGATCGAAGATGTTAAAGACTTTTTCTGCCAGTCTGCCATTCCTTCAAGAATTAACATGATCTACAAGAGTGAGCTAGATCAAGAATAGTTGTTATGAAGAGCAAAACTGGCAAACTGCACATTAAATAAGACAAAATATGGACCCTGGTGCAGTGCTAACAGCTGTTACATTTACTTCAAGGAAATCTTTGTGTCTACGAAGGAATTCCGCATAAAGTTGCTGAATGCTTATTTATCTACAGCTTTGGGAGGTTTGTTCAGAATTGCACACTGTTCACCATCACTGATGCCCCTATGTTGTGTGGAGTTGTTTCTCAATGTAACGCTGCTAGTGCACCGACCTCGTGTATGCCTTCTTCAGTGTGGGAAAGCATTCTTACTATGTGGGTTTCACGAGTACTGCTATGAACACGAGTCTGTCCCTGTTTGAGGCATGCACACATAACGCACATACATGTTTATGTGTATGATTGACACATTGTGATGTGTCACGCGTACTAATACATGGCATGTTATCTACATAGTTAGATAATTAAATGGGTTTTACGAATGCGCTGCACAAATATGTAAACATTTGTCACTGCACCTCACTTTGTTGAGACGGCTGGTGAAATTCATTTTTGTTCCGTGACTGTACAATCCAACTTCATGCCGAAAATTTCACAAATATGCAGAAATACCAGACTTAATTGCCTTTACAAAGGGCACATATGAGTAATGTGCAGGTATCCAACCAACAACTTGCTTGTAGCTAGACATCACTTGTGAATCATTTTAATGCAGCACTGAACTGCAGTTTTTAAAACTTTTTTTTTTAACAAGAAAGGCAGCTTGCTATGCTTTGGTATTACCACACGAGGATTATTCTGTAAGTTTAACAAGGTTCCTGTCTACAAAATCTAACTCATCAGTATTCACTGAAACACAGTCTACTGCATTTGTTGAGCTTTTTGAAGTTATGCCTGCATTTATTGAATCTCTGTAATGAAACTGACATTAAATGTGGGCTGAAGTGCCTCTTGGCAATGCTTGCATTTTTTACCAATGAGAAGTGGGAGGGTGAGAGCCTTTGTGAACTTTTTGTGATGCTTCTGCTCATTACTTTGCACAGAGGTTTTCCCGCATCTGTCTCAAATGAGGTTTGTTGTATGGGACCAGTATCTAGTACATTGCAGTCTGCTTTTATTAGGTGCATTGAGAGATTTCAGACATTTTTTCAGGGGCTAAGAAGGATAAAAGAGGGGCTGGGGCTTTTGCGAAGCAACACACTGTTTCTTGCCCGGGCGCACGCTGGCGCCTTTTCTCTCTTTCTCTCTCTTTCACTTTCCCCGTCCCGTGCTGCCCTCTACCTGCCACATCTGTCACCTCCACCTCTGCGGCTGCGATCGATGGTGGCTGGGAAATAAAAACCATGCGTGCCTGCATGCGTGGGGCGGGCCTGTGCTTCTTGAATGCCCCCACTTCATCTCATTACCTGCCGTGCATGCTTTGGCTCTGGCTTGCCGCCGCATGCCATCTACTTTACCCGCTCGATGCCCCTCGGATACCTTCCTTGTAAGTACCGTCTATGGCCAGTGTAAGTGTTTATTCGCGTACATCACAGAGTGTCCAGTTACACAAAACTTGCTTCATGATTTACGGGCTTTGTTTTATTCTTTGTGCTGCTTTCCATTTTATTGCCCTGCAGGGTTTTCCAAAACCATGTTGTTAATCACTTTCAATACTTAAACAGTCTTCACTTGTTATTGCTAAAGGGCCCTGCAACAGTCTCTGCAATTTTGTTCAACCTTTAGGCTCTAGCATCATCGAATCATTCCCACCTTAAATTAAGCAATGCACATTTTGTAAAGACAGCTATGAACAATTTTATGCTACCCTCGCTCTCACCTCTGCTTTTCCTCCTTGCAGAGACACTAAAAATCCACACGATTTTTCACGTATTAGTAAAGTACACTTTCACAATCCTAAAAACACCATTTTCACTGCGAGACGACGATTGGTAAGCAAGAAAACACACGAAAAAAAAATGAGGGCGGAGACACCCTTCTGAAATTTTGCACCAAACACTGCGACGTTATGGATTTTCAAGGCATCTACTGGCTGCTACATAGCTTCTAACTGATAAAGATAAAGTAGATTGTCGTCTGTAGGTGGCATAGATCTAGCATTTGAAGATTAAAGTAAAGAAAATTTCATCAGTTCAGATGATCTCAACTGAGCTGAAGTATGCCAACACATTTAGAGACAATGAAGTGTTGCAGAATGGATATTGTGGACATTTTTGTATGCATCTGTTTATCAGCGGCATGTGATCGTTATGATGGCACAAGGTTTATCATTCTCATCGCACATCGGGATTCATCTTGAGATCGATGTGTTCCTGGAGTGGAATCGGTCCGACCACATCTTAAGGTAGTATTAAGGAGCTTGTCGACTACTGCACCAGTGTGATAGAGGTGCTGGACCCTATCACCTCTACCATGGTGACTTAGTAGTTGACCCACCCTTCAACTATTACACCATAATAATTATAGAAAGCAAATGCCGTGACAGCTGCTCATTGCCATCATCATCAGCAACAGCCCGTTTTGTGGCCATTGCAAGATGAAGGCTTGCCTCAACGATCTCTTGTCTATCAAGGTCTGCACAATCTTATTCTATTTTACACCTACGATGTTCCTAATTTTTTCAAACCATATAACTCGTTGTTCTCTGCTGCGTTTTCCGTTTATTGGTGTGCCTTTCATCACTTTCACTGACTACCGGTTGCCTGTCCTATGAATTACAAGGCCAGCTCACGCCCACTCTTTTCACATTTAAAGAGTACAGAAATTCATTTGTGGCAATTTTTTGCTGTAATATGTTGCTGGAGGCCTATTAGTCATAAGCTGGCACATTGTTTGCTGCTGTGAGTGACGTATACTTAACTAGTCTGTTTATTACTGACCAGTCTGCCCCGCCGCGGTGGTCTAGTGGCTAAGGTACTCGGCTGCTGACCCGCAGGTCGCGGGATCGAATCCCGGTTGCGGCGGCTGCATTTCCGATGGAGGCGGAAACGTTGCAGGCCCGTGTGCTCAGATTTGGGTGCACGTTAAAGAACCTCAGGTGGTCGAAACTTTTGGAGCCCTCCACTACGGCATCTCTCATAATCATATGGTGGTTTTGGGACGTTAAAGACCACAAATCAATCAATCATATTACTGACCAGTCTCGGTATTGGTCTTGGAGAGCTCTAAGAACGACAAGCACGTGCAGCTAACGCCCTCTAGCACGTGAAATGGCTTGCAGAACTGTGACTCATTTCAGTGCTGCCTGCATCGTCCGCTCGTGTTCTTTCGCATGAGGCGCATGCTGTGCAATGTCATGGCCGTCATCCTCATCATTGTCATCTGGTGGCAATGACTTTCTTGACTATTCCACACGTTCACCGTAGGCACGGGCTTGCAAGCAGCTGCCGAGTAGTAGCCTGTTGGTGCAAACGCGCAGTGGTGACCATGAGGTCACCATTTAGCAGGGCCAGTTTAGAGCTCGGCCATAGTGGCCATGTCACGGATGTTTGGGGTCACCTTCAAGTCACTTTCTATGATGTCAGTGTCGCAAGGTATGGTGTATAGCACTTGACCGGGCGCACAAACTCCAAAAGTCATATAACTTACTTTCAAAGCTGTATTCGCTTTGTTTATAACTTACTTTCCAAGCTGCATTTACTGTTGAGATTGGGTGGCTGATATATGCATGTTTACGAGAATCGACCTGCAGGCTACCTCAGCAGGCAACTTTTGTGTGAGTACCCCTTTAATGTTGACAATCTTTTCACATATTGTTAACTAGAATATGTTCTGAGATCTGTACTGCTACATTATGATCTCCTAATGTTTTCATGTTGAGAAAGCATTGACCCAATCAAGCTCGTTTCGTTGTCGTAACATTGGGGCAATATTTGGAATGTCCAGGCTACATTTGCAACAATGCTAAACCAAAAATTAGTGCTACTGGGAATATTAATGTTCATTATTTGATTTGGAGACACAGAAAACACATATACACAGAGGAAATAGGGAGGGAAAAGCCTGACAATTCCTGCCTGTTCCTTTCAGAAGGGAAACATAGAGGAAAGGAAGGTGGGAAGATAGAAAAGTGAAAAAAAAAAATAGAGACGTAAACACGAATAAGTTGTAACATGAAAAAATGCCTATAAACCCAGGGCCAAACTGATTTTGTTTAAGGAACTTAGCAAGTGTCACAGATTTGTACGTACACTCACTTCCTCCAGACTAAAGAAGTACGAAGCAATTGAATTGAGCGCATTTTATGTGTTGAATACGACTTTAGTTTGAGGGATCAACATCATGTTACTAAGAAAGATTTCATCTTTCTATTCATTTAAGTCCATGTCCCAGGTCTTCTGTTGAAGTAATTGTAGCATGTGGGATTCTATACAGGTTGCAATGGCAACGTACCATCCATGCATATACTCAGTAATTAGGCATTGCTTCCCAGCCGCACATTAAATTATTCGTTCCCAAGCAAACTGCCAAGATGAACTGTGACTAATCGGAACGATGATTGTGATATGCAAGCAACTCATCCGGCAAGCACCCAAATGTGTGCAGCATGCTTGATCTCAGTGTCATGAATATCAAATGTCATATTGTATAGAACCACTATATGTTTCACCATAACACTGGAGACAGGTTGCTGTTTACGTGTTAGTGACTGTGCAGAAATTTAGTTGTTTGCACACAAATGTAGCTCAACAGAATATTTAAGGAAATTTTAGCTATATAATAATTCATACTGTTTATACAAAGCTTTGCTTAGCGTTATTTCTCAAAGTCATAGCTAGAACGCTGCACCTGTTTCGTAATGACATCAGCCAATGATGTCAACTGACCTTTAAATATCTGTCCCACTGACTCCACGAACACACTAACCCAACAGGTTCACCTTTTTCTTTCATCTCTTTTATGTTCATCTTTGCTATAGTGTCTGAAGGGCAAAAAATATCTGCAAAAACAATGATCAACTACTGGTAACTTATCGGAGCTGTAATGTCTGGTATAATATGTGATACAGTTCTGGAACTGATAGGCATTGCAGTTAACTATAATATACAGTACTGTAATACATAATAGTTATGCATCTGCTCAGTGTTTAGTTAGCTTAAAAAGAGAGACTTTGACTACTTTACGGCGACGCGCGATGCCACATGCATTTCGACGTCTTAGAAGGCTAGCATATGTGCTACTCACACTATGTAAAGCTTGGATATGTTCAAGGTTATGGTGTAGGCAATGGCATTACTATAATCATGGGTTACCTGACACATATGGCAACATCTTTTGGGGCTTCATGCAACCATCACAAAATGCTTTACGCTTTCCTGGAGTGTTCTTGCCTGAAAAAAGTTTTTTTGCTATTGTGCCAGCAGCAAAGTAAAATACATTCACTTAAAACATCTTTGTGTCTGTCTGGTTAACCTTTACACTGTTATCCCAGCTGCTAGCATATTTCCCCCCCCTCCCCCCCGGTATTCCACCAATGATGGGCAGTCTTCAGAGAAATTAAAAATATCTCATTTTTAGTTTGCTGCGGTAGTACTTTGAGCAGACCAGGACGAATTTTTCATTGACTCTTCAAGAAGCTTTCATTTCTTGGAAAGCTGCATAGATTTCTTTTAGCCTTTGAATATTGATAGACAAGAAGTTTTTCTTTTATATAGCCTTTTCTCTATCTTGCTGCACTTTATAAAGCTGGTCAGCCATTCTTTAAATGCTTTGCTCATCTAAAGTGAAGCAATACAAAAACGAACCCTACGCCCATGCTTATGTGTGCTTATCTCAGAGACATGTTGATGTTATGATATAAGATGACATTTTCAGGGTTGTTATGTCACTCTTGTTTCTGTGCTTCCCGCACCTTTGCTAAATCTTTATGCCGTGGCACCAGGCACGGTGGGTTCCCTGGCACTATCGCACTGTTCGTCGAAATGCCGGCCATCCCCGTCGTCTCCCGACGGCCGCCTGCCATCGCCCCTGCTGTCCCCTATGCGGCCGGAAACTCTGTCCGAACACACGCCAGACCAGACGAGCCAAAGGCCAGACAGCGGCACCACCTCGCCGGCATCGGACATTATCCGGCCGGGCCGCCCAACGGCCATTGAAATCACCAAGGAGAAACTGGGTCTGGGCCTCAGCATTGTCGGTGGTTCAGACACACCTCTGGTGAGGAGCTTTCCCGATCTCCAGCTTGGCTGGCCACTATTTCCGAAAAGGATAAAAAAAAAGTGCTAATTGTGTGATTAAGGAAAAATTCAAGTAGAAAAACAACTTTTTTTCCCAAAGTTACATATTTTTATTTTTATTTGCTTTGACAAGTATAGTTTCTCTACTTCTATAACAAAAAAAAATGAAGATAGCAATTAAACTCAAAGTTAGTTAAAATCGCTTTTAAAGAGCACAAGGCGGCTACTGAAAAACTAAAAAGTGTTCATTGTCTATAGTCCCCTGGAAATTGTAACCTGCTACTAACATGAGATGTTCACATGAGGAGTTCACTGAAGCTGCATGCTCAAATTAACCATGATTGCCAAGCTCTCATGATGAAAAAAATTATCTTAGGAACATATATTTTTCTGCATAGATAAGCTTTCACTTACAGTACCTTTAAAATGCGTTTTTCTCAAGATTCATTTCTGCAACCTCTTGAGATTGGAAATTATGTTTTTCATGATGCGCTCGTGGCCATTTTGCTAAGCTCCACATATGCTGAATTTGGTGTTACATGACGTCGATGGATGACGAAAGTATATGACTGGTGCAAACATGATAATCCTGACACGCGTGTCATGTAAGAACATGACAACATACCACGCTCATAGCGTGCTCGCGGTCGTTTCACTAGCTCCACATATACTAATTTGGTATCACGTGACGTGAATAGATGATGAAGGTAAACGACACATCCAAACATGATAATTATGACACGGAAGTCATGTATGGCATCATTTACCTCCACCTTGTCACGTTGTGCTGATTTTAAAGTGACATACCATATAAACGCGTGTAAGGGCCGCACTTTTTTTTTTTTCAGGAAATGAGGGCTAATTTTCAGGGTGCGGCCCATACACGGAAGCTTTTTTTTTTGGTGAACTAGAAACAACGTACCAGTTAGCGAACGAAGAGCGTTTATTGCAGTATGCCGCGTGTGCACTTGATCGTTGTCACTTGACAAGTCCTCTAACTCGGAGTCCGAGATGGTGTGTTGTGGAGCACCATCATTCCACAAACAGTCATCTTCGGTGCCATCCAGGCTGTTGGATATCCCAGTGACCTTAAAACTTCGGGACACAATGTCCGTCGACACCGAGCTTCATGCCGACAATACCCAACCGAGAACAGTAGCATGCGGTGCCCTCTTCAGCCGTCCGGTCGGTGTCTGCTCATGGTTGCCGGTTGCCATCCATTCCGTGTAGAGTCTTCGGAATTCAACTTTGAACAGTCGATTCACGCTCACATCCAATGGTTGCAACATTCCTGTGAGGCGGCCTGGAATCACGGCCATGTCTGTTCCGACACGGCGCAGCTGCTCCTTCACCTTATCGGTAAGTTGGCCGCGGAAATTGTCCAACACTAAAAGTGAATGTTTGGCCAACAAAGCTCCCGGTCTGTTCTGCCAAACACTTTTTACTCAGTCAAGCACCAAATCATCGTTCATCCATCCCTTCTCTTGGGCTCTAACTATGATGCCCATGGGGAAAACTTCGTTGGGAATTCTTTCCCTTTTCAAAACAACGTACGGGGGTAGCTTCCGCCCGTCCACAGTCTCGCAAAGCATCACAGTGCAGCGTTGGCGCTCAGCGCCGGTGGTTCGCACGTCGACACTCTTCTTGCCTTTTACTTCGACTGTGTAGTTCTCGGGAGAGTCAAACCACACAGGAGTTTGATCAGCGTTCGCTCTTTGCGACAACAGATAATTGTGCTGATGGCGCAGGCCGATGACATGCATGTGAAAACTAAGCACCTTGTCGGTATAGTCTTCTGGCAGCTGTTGGCACAGCGTGGTCCTTCGCTGAAAGGAGAGTCCCTTCCTTTTCAGGAACCTTCGCACCCAGCCAGCACTAGCCTTGAAATCCCCGGCCGGTATATTTTTTGCACGTGCCAAGGCTAGTGCCTTTATGCGCAGCATGTCCGTAGTGAGCGCAAAACCATCGTTTCGCACCTCAGTCACATAGCGGAGCAACTCCTCTTCCAAATCAGGATACTTGCACTGTTTTTCTCGGAAAGCGCGCTTTTTGTTGTTGGTCTTCTGCAAGGCTTTCTTCTGAGCGCACCAACGTCGAACACACTTCTCGTCAACGTCGAATTTTCTGCCGGCGGCCCGTTTCCCGTGCTCGAGAGCAAACTCGATCACCTTCAACTTATAGCCAGCTGTATAGCTATTCAGCCGCTTGCCCATCGTGCCAAAACTAGCTAGAGTCCCAGAGTCATTCAATGGTGCACGAAACTCGAGCACATGGCAGGCTGAACAGCACAATAACCGAACAACGCACAAATACCAAAGTTGGTTATGCTAATGCCGATATGAATAGCGCGTTTGTATAGAAGTGTCAGAATTTAAAGATAAAATCCCGCTTTAACCTTTAGTTGGCGGGTGTATGAACATTACTGAAAAAACTTAAAATTTTTTAGCCAACTTCATGAACATATTAGCATTAAGAAAACCAACAAGTTATTCTAATGATGTACTATATGTTAATGATGACAATTGCGTTCTCTAAAGCCGTCTACTGACAGCGCCTTGTAGCTCACACACGCACGTGCATTTTGAATACGTATGGATCAAGGAAAGTGCGGATGCGGCCCTTACACGCAACTTTTTTTTTAATATGTGCTTCTTAAAAACAGGATGCAGCCTTTACACAGGTGCGGCCCTTACACGCGTGTATACGGTATCAACCTTTCTCATTCGTGCTTCACATATCATCGATTCTCACAGTACGTGGGATCTGCCAATTTTTTTTTTCCTTAATATGGGAAAAGTGCAAGTATTTCCTTTGAAACTTTATATCACTGTATAATTATTGCAAACCCAAAGTGAACAATCTGTATAGGCTGAGGATTCTAAGCATTTTCACATTACAACTTTTCTTGTCCTATAAAATGTTTTATACACACTTTTTTGATATTTATTTGCATTTTACAGTTACTGTAGAGAAATATAAGTCAATAATGACTGAGAACCATAAATGTTTGGTGGCATGAAAAGTTTGTCGAAAAGCAACTATACGTTATACATTTTCATGGCATGAAACTAAAACTGTGCAACTTACTCTAAAATTAATTTCATATTTAAAATCTGCATAAAAGCCTATATATATAGCAAAAACTTCATTGCCCTAGGCTGCAGATCAACACAACTTTTTTTTTAAACGCACCTCTATCGTTTTTGTGTAGATCTTTCTGTAGTTCTACACCCTGCGGTAATGTCGCTGTTGTGTGATTCTGTGTCCGCGAGAAATTGTGCACTAATGCCATTTTTGTGTAGATCTTGGTGTGGTTCTAAATCCTGCACATAATGCAGCTCCACGACTGTGAAGCGTGAGAAAGTGCATAGAAAAAGCAACCAACCCTTTTGCAATCGTACACTTGCCGAGTTAGGGGCGCCTTCTTTTGGGTGGAACATTTATCTAGCGAATGATGCAGAAGCATTTTTTTTTTGCAATGTTAGGTAGACTATTATATTATTTTAGACACTGTTAGCTCATTTTGCACAGGTTTTCAGCATTGTTAGTTTTAGGCCAGTATTGACCGCTGCATGGCCATGTGACTTGATGCAGTGGATGGACAAAAAAGCGAAGAGAGGCAAAGAGGGGCACGTCACAATCTGGCCTTCAGTGAACCAGAAACATACTATTAACAATCACGAAAAGACCACCACGAAAGAAGACTGAAAGTTGAACGACTTCCTACTGACTGACATTTTTATTCAGAAAACTCTTTATAAAATGGTTACCCCCTGGCAACCAGGGCTGCGTGTTTTCTGAGTTTACTTTTCTTGATATTTCGAGGGTGTTTTGAATTCATCCTTTTGTATGAATTGGCAATTTATGAAAGTTTACTCCTTTAAATTCCATATTCTTTGTTATGTGGAGTTTAATTTTGAGTAATTATCAGTACTACAATACCTTAATCAAGTTAAGTTTGAACACGAAAACATCACAATGTACAAAAAGTATTTTAGTTACCTGAATGTTTTGAACACACAATCACATATACCTAAACATGGGCACAAACACTTGAATGTTCTCACTCCGCCTAACTTATACTGCCATTCTCTGCTGCCTTTTTTGTCTGTTGGTGCCCATACTTTGTGAGGTCTGTTCATTCCATGACATCTGGAACACCCCGGGGCATCCAAGAGTCTGTACAAAAGGATGTTGTCTCACTGCCAGAGACCCTACATACACTGAAATCTCTCACTCCATGTCGGACAAAGCTGGTGTTAAAGGTGCAATGGGTGCGAGCTACAAGATACTGTTGACTTACGATAAAGTTTATGTCACGATAAAGTTTATGTCGGTCGAGCTGGTCGATGTATCCAAAACCTCTTTAGCGTGCCCTTTTTATAAAGAACGAAGCAGGGTCATATTGGCTGTTAAAATTGGGGTTTTTCGGATCAGTCAGAATTGTCCAAATGTTTACCAGTGAGTGTCTATCAAATTTCGTTTAATTTTTCGGAATACACAAAGCCCTACTGATAACCCTCACCATGACAACCAAAAATCTGTATTACAAAAAACAGCACATCCTCGTACGACCATGTGTTTTTCAACAAATGACATCCAAGTTTTTTCTAAACTGCAGTAGACTGTATTTAAGGGGAGATGCGGGTCGAAAAACCAGAATTTTCTAAAAAATTATCGATTTTTTGTTTTCACCTGTTTTGTTAAGATTAGTACCTCTACTATTCTGAAAAAAAAATAAAAATCTATGTCGAGAATCAACTGGAAATGCTTTAAAATTGCGTCTGAAGAGCACAAGGTGGCTGTCAAAAGGCCGAAAGTGTGTCATCTTCGAGCACCTTGCCGCTGATAATGCGCCGCTGCTCGCCATTGTCGACCGCATGAGGCGAAGAACCGAGCCTCACTCTTCAAATAGCGACGGTTTCCCGCGCTGCTGCAACGCAAGAAATAATAAAGAGAACGCGCTTTAGCCGCCTTTTTCGAGCGCCGCGACTGGCTTTTAAATCACGTGGTACGGATCGGGAGCCGCCATTGGCCGCTGCGCGCCGTTGTGTGCTGTGAAGCCTACTTGCAGGATCCGTGTCTCGTCGAGCAGCACAGCTGAACAACGCTTTTCTCGATTGCTTATTCGTTATGGATGAAGAAAGCCGTAGGAAGCGCGGTCACCGGCCTGTGAAGTTTCACGCGGCGCACAAATTTCGAGGACGCCGGCGCAAATCAAAGCCGAACACTCAAACCACGAAAAGATCGTCTGCTGCCGCAAAACGTAGTGGCAATGACGCCGATGCGCCCGACGAGTTTGCCGCGGCATTCGAATATGTGAGTGCCTCCCAGAAAAAGATCGGACTCTTCGAAGACGAAGAAAAATCACAGGACGACGAGTCTTCGTTGATTGCTGATGTGACAGCACTGAACATGCTTGTGCGCGGTGCAATGTGTCCGACGTGTCGCCATTTGGGATTACGTGTCCGGGAACCGGCCAACAAGCAGAAAGGACTTGCGTCGTTCATCGAACTCCACTGCCCAAACAGTGAGTGCCCCGAGGCTATTCTTTCGGCGACATATACTTCGCGGCGAGTAGCTTCAGGCGGGGAGGCCAGCGTGAGCGTGGCGGGTGACGGACTGACCGCGAGGAGAACATACGACAGCGGGAGCTCGCGCGATAGCTACGCTGTCAACATGAAAGCTGTTGTGGCGGCGCGCTCTGTAGGCATGGGCTACGAGCAGCTAGTCCGATTTGCGGCAATTCTTGGCTTGCCAAAGCCAATGCACCATAAATCGTTTACTGCAATCAGCCGGAAAGTCCATGATGCGGCAATGGATGCCATCGGCGCCAATCTTGCGAGGTCGAGAGAGCAGACAGTAAAGGAAGTTGGCGGGGACGACATTGCCGTTATGTACGACGGTACATGGCACAAACGTGGCGACAAGAGTCACAATGGCATCGGTGCTGTTGTGTCACTCGACACTGGACTTTGTTTGGATTTTGAAGTCCTGTCAAACTTCTGCCTAGCTTGCAGTAGGCACAAGACTCTGCCAGATGAAGAGGAAGAAGTTTGGCAAGCATTTCATAGCCCTGTCTGCGAGCGCAATGTTGAATGTTCAGCCCACGCGATGGAAGCAGAAGCTGCAGTGCGCATTTGGCAAAGGAACTAAACGTATGACACACCATTGCGATTCAGTAAATTCCTCAGCGACGGCGACTCAAAAGCGTACACGGCAGTTGTTGAAGCGAAGGTATATGGTGATGCTGCGATCATTGAAAAAGAGGACTGCACAAATCACGTAGCTAAGCGCCTCGGGACCGCTCTTCGCAAACTCAAGGAGCCACTGCCAAGAGGACAGAAGCTGAAAGATACTGTGATACAGAAGCTGCAAACCTACTATCAAGTGGCCATCACAAGCAGTAGGGGCAGCATTAAAGCCATGCACCGGGCGATTTGGGCCTCATATTTTCATTGTTGCTCAACAGACGATGCGAACACCCACGAATTGTGCCCAGATGGACCAGAATCCTGGTGCAAACACAAGCGTGCTAAAGCCTCCTTGGGCGAACCTGCACCGGCTCACACACCCCTGCTCACAAAGGCCCAGGGAAAGGCAATTTTCCCTATTTACAAGAGGCTAACCAACGAGAAGCTACTGACCCGCTGTATTCAGGCCAAAACTCAGAATGCAGTGGAGTCACTAAACAGTAAAATTTGGCTCCTCTGTCCAAAGACACGATTTGCCTCTAGACATGTTGTGGAGATGGCCACTGCTATGGCTGTTCTCTAGTTTAATAGAGGGCACTCCAGTTTTGAACTTGTTCTGGAAGAGCTTGGCGTGCTCCCGCCTCATGGTCTGGTTGCTCTTGGCACATCACGGGACAGCACACGCCAGAAAAAAATGTCTCAAAAACTAACAGGAGAGGCAAAGGCTCGTCGGAGTGTGCTGAAGAAAAAATCTCTTGTCGAGGAGTCAGCTCGAAAGAGCCGTGAGGGCCAAACCTATGGTGCTGGCGCATTTTAATGGCAGTGGCCACTACAAGGAGGATTTTTCTTTCTTGTGTACAAATTTCGTCGCATTCAATGACATCTTTGATAAATAAACATGAAATTTTGACTTTAAAACTTCTTTTTCTCAAAACACAAATTTTGCCATTTTTGTCAATGTACCCCTCCTTTTTCGGGTACTTCTGGTGCTCAGATCTGCATGAAATTTTTCCCAAATTTTTTCCAAAGTACGAGAAATGCAATTATCTTGTTTAAGTTTCAATATTCTTTTTATAAAATAAAAAAAAAGTTATGTAAACTTTTACTAGGGTAGGAGAAATATGAACTTCCCACGTTAAAATTTTTCACGTCTAGTACATATTTTGTATGGACTTCCAAATTAGTTGTTTGCATTCCACACTTCATTTGAAACATTATGAACTATCAATTGTAAAAAATTGATGAAGTTTAGGTATGAAAAGAGGGGGGGCAAAGGGCTTAAGTTTTTCACTTTGTCATGTTGCAAAACTAAAAGTATGCAACTTGCAAGACAACTCATTATATATTCGAATCAGCATAAAAAGTTCTATAAGCACCTCAAGTTTCATTGCTCTTGAATGAATATTAAAAAAAAAAAAGTGTCTTCGACCCGCATCTCCCCTTAAGAGGAACCTGAAAGGACCAGGAAAATATGCACCATTTAACAGGAGTTTTATTTACTGAGAGATCAACAGGAATGCATTATTCAAGTACAAAAGCAATCATAGTTTAAAAGGCAGTTGTGTTGTTTAAACAGCAATTCCATTTAAGACATGTTCATTTAATGAGAGTTCAGTGTAGTAATTAGAGGGTGGCTGATACAGCTAGAACCTTTCCAAAGGATATATAAGGCTTCGGTTATGTCCCTCTGAGTTTTTTCATAGTACCTGTAAACCATATGAAAATCACGAAGCCTCATACTTCAACCGGGAAGGTTCTAGCTGCAGTAACTCGTCAGCTTTTCATCGTGTTGAACCAGAAAAGTAATGCAGCTGTAGGTTGTTTGTGCATTTATTGAATCCGGTTCGAAAAAAACTTGTTGGGGCCAGCTTAGCTTGTTATTCTTGTGTATGCATGAGAACCCATGGTCTCTTATACTTAAGTACTAGAATATAGTAGCTGTAACTGTAGTAGCTGTAGTAGCCGTAGTCATGCCCTGGCATGGCACCTTAGAAGCTCTAACATTTCATTGCTGAGAATGATGAAACGGGTTCACTTCCTAGCAATGGAAGCTGCATCTGATGAGGGTGAAAGGCAAGAACGTTATACAATACAAGCTCGTCGATTTCTGTTTCTCGGCACCAGAGAGAGCGTCTGAATTATATGGATGCCGGGTTATTGGAATTGTGGAAAAAAAAACTATGAAGAAATGTTAATATATCAATGCACTATTGTTTTCTCTATGTATATGTAAATCTATTAAATATTTTGCAAAACAGCAGTGCAAACATAAAAACTTTCAACATTCACAACTAACCTTATTCACAGTGGGAACGTGACTCAGTTGACCGCCTTGTCCTAATCAGAAGTGTGTTCTGCACTCATACCTTTTTAAATACCAGCAATGCTGTTATCGGTGATGAGCATGTCTCTAAAAGCTAATGGCGGTTTCGGCTGTCCGCAAACACCATTCTTATTCCCTTGAGTCACACTTCCACTGGGCATCGTGGTCAGCGCGCTCCAAGGATTGTCCAGACTGGTTGCAGCCAAATATGACCATAATAATGAGAGTTTGATGCCATAAAACAATGCATGCATTTTCCTGGACCAGAGAGCATACTCGATTTATCTGATTTTCCAAATTAACAAGTGTCAAATTAATGAGCTTTTACTCTAAAGATATTTCGACACAGCTTAAAGGACAATATTAAAGGCACACAGAAGAGCAAAACGATTTTTTGCTTATTAGTAATGTACAATTTTATAATCCAGAAAAGACCACTTTTATCGTGACATGAAGCTTCGTAACCAAGAAAACGTGCAAAAAGAAAAAGTGGGTTGATGCGCCACCGTGGGATTCACTGTGACATAGTAAATTTCAAAAGCTTCTACTGGGTCATACATAGCTTCTACATAATGAAAATAGTGTACATTGTCATGCCTCGGTGCCATAGTCCTAGCATACGAAGTTTTGACAAATTTCATTAAGCCAATGTCGTGAAAATACGAAAAAAAAACATTTTGTAATTACTTACGTCACTTGTGGAGACTTCAGCACAAAATTTAAAAATGAAACTTCAAGCTTCACTTTGTCAGCTAATAATGAACTTATGATAGTGAAACTGACGGCATTTGAGTTCTCAGTCCATTTTATCAATCTAAACCAAGTGATTGCTTCTCTCTAGTGTCCCTTTAAACCAGAGTCAACCAGGGCAGTGTGCCTCATAAATATATTTTGGTTCTGGCATGTAAAGTCTCCAAATTTGCTTAATTTTGCAAGCTGTGGTCAATCATTGTAATAACTGATGAGCCCCAAAAGCTGACACTTGTAAAACGGTTTTGCGTGACTAGACAGTACCTTTCTGCAGCAGCACCGTGGCAGTAGCGATGCCGGTCATAGATTATACATGATTTTATTCAGGCCTGTAATTGCTTGGCGTACCTATTGCATGCATGTGTGCCTGCACATGCATGCATGCTTGGCACATGTACATGGATGAAAATGGCTTGGCACATGTACATAGATGAAATTACCCGCTACCTTACTTCTGGCGTTCTCTTTTTATCTTTGATAGGGTGCGGTCATTATCCACGAGGTATATCCTGATGGTGCTGCTGCAATGGATGGCCGTCTTCGGCCTGGTGACCAAATTCTGGAGGTGAGCCACTGTGGAGATCAAGAAGAATTGAGAATCGAATTTTGTATCATTTAACACAGCATTTGTGTGTCATTTTGTGAAAATTACGGTGTTGTGGTTATGAGAGAAAAAGCAACATTGGTCTTGAGCGAAAATTTAAGGTAGGTGCAAGTAAAGATGAGAGCCGCACGGTGTTGGCAATTTATTTATTTATTTATTTATTTACCTATACCTCACAGGCTCCAAGTAGGAGTATTATGTGAGGAGGATTATACAATACTTTTTATCAAGAAACACGGACCAAACAAAATAAATTCAAGAGCCAAGTTTACAATTGCTAAGTATGAGAAAAAACATACACAAATAATGTGAAATTTGTGTTTCACATAATTAAAGGGGTTCACTTGTAAATGTACAATGAATGAATACCAATAAGGAAGATATGTTTAAGAAACATAGTCATAAATAGTTAGTTAGTATTTTATTTCTAAACGCCACGTGATCGTCAGTGCACACAGCATCATCAGGAAGATCATTCCAATGAGCATTGTCTACTTGTCTTCTGTGTCTCTTCTTTTTTTTTGCACTCTTCTTTTATTTTTCACACAGGCATTTGCTGCTGAAGTGGAAAACGTTAAAGGAGCATACACCAGATTATAAAGGGGCTTTCGGTACTTTTCATAAGAATACTGTGCCTTTCTGTACATTTCATCTATTTCGGTATCGTGCCTATGCCATGCACTGCACAGTTTTGTGGGTCATCCATCGCCGCAGAGTGGATTGGCTCATCAATCTGTGGAAAACAGTGCTTTGTCATTGTTTCATCTCTCCTAGTGTTCATTTTGATACTGAGTGCAAACACTAGACGGAGGACAGTTGAGAGGGCAAATATGTCTTTGTCCTCCCCAATGCACTGTCTAGTGTTTGCACTCAGTACATTATGAATGGCTTGTTCTAACTTGCCCGACGAGCAACATTGTTGAGCTATGCCCACCTATGAATGTTGTTGACTGTTACTGTCAGTGTCCAGCAAAACCAGTTGGTGTTTAGCACCTGTCCTGTCTTTTTCGTGCAGTCTATCAGGTTTCTAGCATTGCTACTGTATCAAGTTTTAGTGTTTAGGTGTATCTCTGGGAAATTGTGCGAAGGGGCGTCCAATATATGCGTTCGCTTTGCCTTAGAGTCACGTACATGCGGCTCGCTCATTTGTGCAGGTTAACGGCGAGGACTTGCGAGAGGCGTGTCATGAAGCCGCCATTGCTGCTCTACGGCAAACTTCGTCAGTGGTGCGGATGCAAGTGCTTCGGGAGGAAGAGCCGCAGCAGGACATCCTCACGGTCGAGCTGCACAAAAAGGCCGGGCGCGGTCTAGGCCTGAGCATCGTGGGCCGGCGAAATGCACCGGGTGTCTTTATCTCTGAGGTACATTCCCTCTTCTCATTTCCGAAGCATTCTCTATTCGATGGTTTGAAAAGCGAGCGTGATACGTAGACAGGGACAACTAAGACACGGATAAGCGCTTACTACCAACCGAAAGTTTAATCAGCTGTCTTAGCTGTCCTTGTTTACATATAGCGCTGATATTTCAAACCATCATGAATCACCAACTCACCCAATAAATCATTTTGACCCTCTGTTAACTCATCCTTGCCAAGCTGTTCCCAAATCATTTTAGACGAGTGTGTCTCGTCCACTGAAGGCAATATGTCCCCATAAGCGTTTTGAATGAGAATCACTTGTTTCCAAATTCAGTTCATGTGTCACTTCACAAATGGCAGCACTTGCTTGGCATTTTATTTTATTATAACTGCTACTACACGTTTTTTGATGACTTGCGTTAAGAAACGTCCAGTGAAGCTGCTGCATTGGCTGCTGAAAAAAGGCCTTTCGTCATCATACTTTCAGGTGCTAATTATTCAGGTATTCATGTTTCCTTTGATGACATGACTTCTTATATTTTCCAGTTTTTCGACAATGAGATGACTTCATGAATTGTTTAACACAACAGCCAGTGGGACAACAAACTATGCTAACGATTGCGCTAATTTGACTTGATATACTCATCAATTTTTTTGTCCATCAGAACTATCTTTTCAAAAGCAAAATATTCAGTATGAGGTTCAAAAAAGATAAACTTTTTAGACTGAGAAGCCCCTCCCCCCCCCCACACCACCCAAAAAAAAGCAGTTAAGGGGCTAACAGTGGCTCATGAGCATGCTGTTTCCGTTAATAACAGACGACTCACTGGTGAGAGTAGAAAACACACTGCCAGTCTAGCATGAGCATGCTGGTGGGCTAAATGACATGGCGACCACTGCGCACAGTCTTGCGCAGCCTCCGTCTCGCCACTGATAAGCCCGGCGTGACACGGCCACTTGCTGCGACACGCACGTCGATAGCGGACAGTACCACCGCTCTTTCACCTGAGGCTGACGTTACGGCAGGTGGCTATATAACCCAAGCTACCAAGCTTGGTTTCAATGATTGTTTCTCTAATCCTTCGAGTGGAGCATCAGCACGCTTGCCCTTCTGTTGCTACCACATTAATAAACATCGTTACGTTTTATGTTAGGATCCGTCCTTCAACGACTCCACATCCCACATCTGGTGACCCGGAATTCGAACTAACTGCATCGCCATAACCGAGTAAGAAGCCCCTGTCGCTCTTCGCCAACAAGTGCAACAACCCACGCCCCACAAAGCCCTGCTCCAGTGGGTGCCACCACTCCTGCGACCATCGCAGACATGGACGTATGTCAGGTCATCAGTCGAGCTCCCGCCGTTTTCGGCGGAGGCGCCCGATGTATGGTTCATCCTAAGTCGAGGCCCAGTTTTCTCTGGCGCGCATCCTGCAGGACCAGACCCGCTATATTTACATCGTCATCCCACTTGGACGCTCGATTCGCCGACGAGGTCCGCGATATCCTCTTTAACTTACCATTGACCAACGGGTACGAACACCTCAAGACCGAACTCGTATGCCGCCTGTCATCTTCGGATCAGCAGAAGTTGCAAAAACTTCAGTCCGCCAAGCTCGCCGAACGCAAACCTTCACAGTTGCTTCGCCACATGCGTGCTCTCACAGGCAGCATGGAAGTCCCGGATTCCCTTGCTGAAAGTGATTTGGCTTCAACAACTTCCACTGCATTTCCAAGCAATTTTGCAGGCTCTGCCCAGGTTTCCTCTCAACAACCTTGCCGAGTTCGCTGACTGCATCATCGAGGTCTCTGTGCCGCAGTTACAGCTCACCAATCAGGCTGTCGCCGCACCACTCAATACCACAGAGCTTGCGCGACACATTGACAACATCGATCAAAAACTCGGCTACATTGAGCAACACATCGGTGAGCGAATTGCAACGTGTTAGCGATACCAATCACAAAGCAGTGACTGCGACACTGCCTCGTCACAGCAGCCTTTTGAGCATGGCCGGTGCTACTACCATCGGCAGTTCAGTGACAGGGCCCGGCAGTGTCGACCACCCTGCTCTGCCAACGAGGAGCTCAAACGGCAGCTGGTGTAGACGACCGCAAGCTGTCAACCTGGAGGCCGCCACATCTTCGTCACCGACCAAGTCGCAAAACAGCGGTTCCTTACCGATAGCAGTTCCGACATCTGCTGCTACCACCCCCGGTCTCACCCTCAAGGTCCTCGCCCACCAACATCTTTCGGGCTCAGCGCGGCTAACCGGTCCTACAATCAAGACATACGGCTCACTGCGCCTGCACGTCCAGATCAAGAACATACGCCGCGACCTTGGCTGGAACTAAGTCATCGCTGACGTCAGCTGAGCTAATCATCAGCTCAGACTTTCTGGCTCGCCACAACCTCCTTCCGGACTACCGCAACAACCGGCTCATCAACGCGACAACAAGACACTTCACAACAGGCCAGCGAACGACCGCCAAACAGCCAAGCATCAAGGTCCTCAGTGTCGACAATCACTCGTCGTACCATGCCATCATCACCGAGTTTCCCGGCTTGACGCGCCCCAGCGGACTGTCACGCAAAGTGCAGCACACCACCATGCACTACATCCGAACCACTCCAGGCCCCTCGGTTTTCCGACCCAGAGCGCATGCGCATAGCCAAGGCAGAGTTCGAGGCCATGCTCCGAGAAGGCATCACCCGTCGCTCCTACAGCCCATGGGCCTTGCCACTTCACCTTGTCCCAAAGAAGACCGCTACCGGGATTACCGCACCCTACCATGCCCTCAACGCACGCACCATCTTAGACAGGTACCCCGTCCACTACATCCAGCACTTCGCCCACCGCATTCACGGCTGTCATGTCTTCTCCGTGCTGGACTTGAAGGCTTACACGCAAATACCCCTCGATCCGAACGACGTCCCGTAAACTGCAATAATCACCCCATTTGGCTTGTTCGAGTTTCCCTTCATGAGCTTTGGGCTAAGGAACCAGGGCAAACCTTTCAGCGCTTCATCGACGAAGTCGTTCGTGGTCTAGACTTCTGCTTTGTCTATCTTGACGATATATTGTTTTTTTTACGTGACGCCACGGGCACTTTCGTCTGTTGCTCCAACGCCTCAACGACCACAGCCTGCTCGTCAATGTCCAGAAGAGCACGCTCGGTGCTTCCATCGTTCATTTTAGTCGGCCACGGAGTTTCATTAGAGAGAACTTGACCCTTGCCTGAACGCATCTCTGACTTGCAGAAGTACCCTCCACCCTCCTCGCTAAAAACCTTCGCCGCTTCCTCGGCATGCTGAACTTCTATAGGCGTTTCTTACCACACGCTGCCGACTACCAGGCGCCCCTTCATGATGTCTTAGCTGGTCTACGAAAAAAACCAACCCGTCACATGGACACCGACTTTGGTGCAAACGTTCGAGGAATGCAAGGCTGCTCTCTGCACCGCCATGCTCCTCTCCCATTCCGCGCCTGATGCTCTCTTGGGACTCTTCACGGACGCCTCTGGTTTCGCCTGTCAGTGCCGCTCTCATGCAACGCGTGGATAACACCTGGCACTCCTTGGCGTTCTTCTCAGGAAACTCTCAGCTCGCAAGGTCACCCCCTTCAGGGGCCAATTCCATCGACGAAACCACGACCGCTGCACCTACTAGTTCGCCAGCTACTACAGAGAACTTCTGGCAATATACGAAGCAGTTCAGCACTTTTCGCCATGTCCTCGAAGCGCAACACTGCACCATCTATACCGACCACAAGCCTCTAACCTACACCTTCTCTCAATGCTCCGACAAACTCCCGCCTGTTCAGCAGAACCAACTCTCGTTCATTGCACAGTTCACCACCGACATCTAACATATCAGCAGCAAAGACAATGTGGTCGCCGGCACGCTTTCACATGTGGCCATCATCAGCTCGGTGCAAATAACAGCAGACATCTTTGCCGAGGCTCAGACCACGGACGCCAAGCTGCAGGAACTTCTCAAGGGCACATCCTCTCTTCAGCTAAAAGAAGTCCCCATTCCAAGCAAAAACAATCTGCTGTGACGTGTGGACAGGATGAAGCAGGCGCTATGTGCCACTGTGCCATCGCCAAGGTCTTTTCAACCAGCTCCACAACCTCAGCCATCCCAGCATACGTGCCTCTACACACCTTGTGGCGGCCTGCTTTGTCTGGCCCTCCATGCAGTGGGATTGTCGCACGTGGGCGCGCTCCTGCATTCAATAATGCCAAGGCGCTAAAGTCACCAGGCACGTCACGTCCCCACTCGGAACATTTCCTCTGCCCTCTGGTCGTTTCAAGCATGTTCACCTCGACATCATAGAATTCTTTCTTTTGGCTGGATACTACCGCTACTGCCTCACTGCCATCGACCGCTACTCTCGATGGCCCGAAGCATGGCCCCTCGAGGGAATCACCACGGAATCCGTCGCCTCGGCTTTTTTCACCGGCTGGATTGCTCGTTTCGCTGCCCCCTGCCGTGTAACCACCGACCAAGGACGACAGTTCGAGTCGCACCTCTTCAGGCTTCTTGGACTGACTATCGGTTTTGAACGCTCGAGGACCACTAGTGTCCACCCCTGCACCAACGAAATGATCAAGCAGTTTTCACCGACAGTTCAAGGCAGCCATTATGTGCCATCCGGAATCAACCTGGCTCGAGGCCATCCTGGCTGTCATTCTCGATCTTCGTGCCACCTTCAAGCCGGACATCCTCGCTACGCTAGCAGAGCTCAGTCTACGAAGAACCACTCCGTCTCCCAGATGAATTTCTCGCAGCTCTACGACGTCAGACCTCACCGACTTTGTCGCTCAGCTCCGACGCACAATCACCGCCTTACACCCATCGCCTGCTGACCACCACAGCAGGCCTACACCTGTTGTGTTCAAGGAGCTGGCATCGTGCACACACGCTTTCCTCCACGGACGACACCGTCTGCAGGCCCTTCCAGCCACCCTATAGCGGGCCCTACCTAGTAGTATATCGTGCCGACAAGACCTTCACTATACGCTTAAACGGGAACGACGTTCGTGTCGCGACTGACGGCTCAAGCTTGCATACATCACGGCGAACGAACCGGGCAGCTGCCACTCCTTCTTCAGGCATCCTTCCACAGCCACCGACATCGCAGGCCGCTTTTTTCACGACACGATCAGGACATCTGCTATGCCTCCCAAATTTTTACAGACCCTGAGGGCTCTGCACTCCCCGGGGGGTGATATGGCGACCACTGTGCATAGTCTTGCGCAACCTCCGTCTCGCCACAGATAATAAGCCTGGCATGACACGGCCACTTGCTGCAACACGCGTGTCCAGTAACAGACAGCGCCACTGCTCTTTCACTGGAGGCTGACGTCACCACAGGTGGCTATATAACCCAAGCTACCAAGCTTGGTTTCAATGATTGTTTCTCTAACCATTCGAGCGTAGCATCGGCACAATTGCCCTGCTATTGCTACCAGGTTAATAGACATTGTTACGTTTTATGTTGGGATTCGTCCATCACCGACTCCGCATCCCGCAATGGCACTACGTGCACGTCAAGCTGGTTCATTAGAAGACAGGCATGGCAGCCACCTGACGCTGGGGCTGCATTTCTTGGCTTGGTTGGCAAAAGCATGCATGCAGCGGAAAACTACTGCAGTGACGCTAAACACCTGTTTCATTACGATGCATCTACCAGCTGCGGCCATGTACGGTATACACCAGACACAGCGAGCTCGATGCGTGCTGCCATATTAAAAGCCTGGCGAAGCAACATCCTGCACTGCCACGTGAGCAGACGCTCTATAAATCAAATGCGAAACTTCACAACTTGAGTCCGGCTGTAAGCATGTTTTGCGCTCTTCCTCTTCTGGAATTTAGTGCTGATTTTATGTGAAAGGCCGAGAAGGACCTTCCTCGACAGTCTGGCATGTCTACAGCACGAGCATTGCAGACTGCGGAAGCAACATTATTAGGTTCGTACTATCGCGATTGAAAAAAACACATGAACAGTGGAAAGCATTGCTTTCGACTCAGTCGAGCTGCGGTGCCTTGGCTATAGCAAGGCAGAATTCGTGCTGTAAGCCAGCGTCACCATCGGGCTAGAACCTCATTCCGGCTTGCGCTCATGCACTGCATGTGTTTATCAATTGCCAGTCATGCCGGGCACTCGGAACACACACATGGGGCAAAAGTGCCAACAAGAGCAAGATTTTAGAGGGCTATAGCGGCGCTGGCTGAAAGCACAGGTTCGCCTAGTGACAGTCACGATACATCGCAGTTCGACTGAGTTGAAAGCCACGCTTTTTTTGCTGTTCACGCCCCTTTGATTGGCAGTAGTACGCTGTTACAATTGTACTAAACGTGCATGCTGCATGCAACCACGTGTTACTCATAATACTATATTCTATTGTGGGCATGCGGCCTTAGAAAGAGTTCGGCAGTAATTCAGTGTCTCATACTACAAGTGTACTGCACGCAAATCGCTGCTGTAAAGCAGAACAGCTGGCGTCGTGCTTGAATAAGTGCAATAAGTTTACTTACTCCTACACTGTTACTGGGCTGATAGTTTTTCCTGCTGATTGCGATTATCCACTGGCAACGGAGCTCGATGTTTTTTGTTGCGGATGGAAATCGCTGCAATTGGAAAACACCCTACTAGCACGATTCTCGCGTCGTGTTGTGATCTTCAGAGACAGTGCTAATCAACATATTCCTCTTGTAATGTTTGTTTTCGCATCCAAAGATGGCACAGTGGTGCACATACGAAATCTCGTAGGTGGTAGCGGCGTGAATAGGTGCTTCTTTGCATTTCAAAGTCTCAGGGGACACCGCTTGCCCTGTTCGCTTGGTGCTACAGATACACCCTTTAGGCAGTTAAGGTGTTTTGGTGCGAGAGTATGCGCTGGCAGCCTGAGCGTCTATGCGCGAGATAAGCGTGCTCTGGTCTATAGGAGAGAGGCATCTGCTTGGCCGACATAGCACCCTTCCGTGACAACCTGGGAAAATGAAACGATTTCTTTTTCTTATCCCGTAAGAATATACTTAGGAATCCAACATTTTTTGGGTTTGCGTTTTGAAAATGACTATTTTTGTTCAAGAAAGAAAGGAAGAAAACAGAAGAGAGAAGGCAAGGATGTTGCTGTATTTACTCAATTTTAATGCAGCCACAATTGTAAAACAAAGGGTGACATTTCTTTGCGTCCAGAAAGAAAAGAAAAAAAAGTGTGTGCATCATTGCACATTTTTTCAGACAACTTCAGTTTCCGTATTCGATTGTAACGTGTGGGTCGACTTCAGGTAGCAAAAATCTGGGAAAAAAATACTTGCATCAACTTTGAGTAAATATGGCAAGCAGGCACATGTCCAGTTCGCCTCTCTGTGCTTGGGGAATAGGAAAAGAGAGTAGAAGGGACAAAGAGAGGAGGAAAAAGAAAAAAGAAAGTGAGCAGTAAGCTTTGCACGGAGATTTCTGTGCATCCACCCTATTGTATCCGGCAAGGCTACTGCATCACGACTGCGCATCGGACATGCGCAGATACTCACGGCGCGCTATCGTGCGCCTATATAATCAGTGACTGAATAAAGCGATGTCTCTTCTTGTTCTGGCCATCATGCTGTATCGTCGTCCTTGCTAGTTACACCTATCTGAAACTGGGCTTTTCAGTAACGATGGTAATAGTCTGTTGGAATAAGTGGTGCTCATGGCGATGCACACATGCACCCTTGGCAGGTGGTGCGTGGCGGGGTAGCGCAGCTGGACGGCCGCCTCTGCCAAGGCGACCAAATCTTGGAAGTGAACGGCCACAGCTTGGCGGCCGCCAGCCAGGAGAAGCGGCTGCTCTGCTCAAGACCACCATGGGCCGAATCTGCTTGCGCGTCGGGCGCCTGCGCCGGGCACCGTCGCAACGTGCCACCCAGGTGCCTGTCTCACGCTCGGACTCGTGAGTGCCCCGTCTTTTTTTTTTATCACCCTTCTCACTAACTGATCACTTGGATTGCTGTGGTGAAACAAATGTCAATGATTAACAAAATATGTATGGCCTCAAAAGTGAGAATGAGAAAAAAATTGCAGTTTTGCCTGCAGGGCCAAGCAATGAATGTGATAGGCAGGGAATCGTAGTGTTATGTGAAGTAGGAATAGCAGCTAACTTTTTTGGATCTTATCTCGTGTAACTCTACAAAACGCTGATGTAAGAGAATAGTGACCTCTCCTGGGAGTCGAGCTGTTTCACACAGTCTCTTTGCACCTGAGACCTGGACAGATAGAAGAACATACAAGCCGTCTACTGATGCCTGCTGAGATAGCGTGCATGCCAGTGATCACGCCCGCGCCCTTAGAATCGAAGTTGATCATTGCTGCTCAAGCGACATCATCAGCTCCCTCACTATACCCAGATGAATTACAGTATACTCTCAGTAAACGGGACTCTGCTTATCGGAACTGCTGCTTAAATGGAACAAATGCTTCTGACAAAATTGGTTTCGTTCTTGCATTGTGCACCCCTCTTCATCTCTCAGTAAACGGAACTTCTGTTAAACGAAACACACTTTATTGGTCCTTTCAGGTTCCGCTTAATGAGAGTGCACGGTACTTGCATGCATCTTTAATTCTTGGAGTGTGTTTCTGAAGCATGGAATTCGACATACTGATGAGCTTTGAAGCAAAAGCAAGGAGCAACAACTTCATGCCAAGCATGTTTAGCTTGTATTGTCCAGATTTCTCACACCGCCCCCTGTCCCCCATGCTAGAGTGACACCTTGTGTCAAGAGACAAAACTTCAACTGCCCTGCCAACAAGGCTAAATTATCCTGGTCTACAAACACTGGTACTTCTTTCATCACCCTATATTACATAAACTGTGATGTCCTAAGATGCCAATGTCTAAAGACTGCTTCATCTTGAGCCTTTAGTGGACTGGATTATGGTAGATCCTGCTCCTTGGTTGAAGGGCCACTCACCAGGTTTGATAATTTTGAGCTGACAAGCGCAATGCGTAGATGAGGCGTTCATGATCACGTCTGCCGAAATTTGGAACGCTACGCGTCGCGGAAATGGGTCAAATTTTAAGATGAACGCTGCTCCCCCTCCCCTCTGCCGGCATACGCCTAGAGAATGAGGGCATGATGTGGATGTATGAATGACCCTACGTTCTTGGCAATGCAGTAACGTTGGTCATCTACGTAGACGACTCTGCTCTGGCGTTGTCAGCAGTTTACCACGGGACATGGCAAAAATTATTTAACACAAGATGCGTAGTTTATGTATTTGTTGCTTTAAGAGATTAATAAAACTCGAAATAAATAATGAGACGCAATAAAAAATTGTGCGCGTTTTTCTTTCATTTTTACCGTGAAATGCTACGAGATGCGGGGCTAATGTGCCAGCGTTTCAAATGCGTTCGTGTCCCCGCGGTCAGCGCATTGAGCAGACGACCACCGTGGAACGCCCCTACGTGTTCGCGCACTCATTGTTCTCATCTATGCTACCGCGTCTAAGCCAGCGTTTCCAAACCCTTCTGCAGAAACAGGCAGAAGACCACAAAATAACGCTAGTCAACAAAGCAACGCCGCTCGCCTGCTCGGCGGTTAGACTTGTTTGGGCACGTCATGAGCACGTCACCTCATGGTCGGATGCTGGAGAGGGTGGGGAAGAGATTTGGCTTGCGAAGGCTGCGCGGAGGAGCGGCAAGGGTTTCGAGCTCGCCTCCTCTCATCCTCGTTTCGCGCCGCTTCAAGAAACTTGTTTTTTCCGCTCGGGATGAACCGATTCGAAAAATTTTTGTGGCAAAATGTTTCTCATCGGACACCCAACAACTTCCACCGTCTAACTTAAATTCGGTATAGGGCCTGGTAAGTGGCCCTTTAAATTCCAGCAGCAACTAAAGAGGCAGCAAACCAAATTAAGCACAATGCGTAGATGAGGCGTTCATGATCACGTCTGCCGAAATTTGGAATGCTACGCGTCGCGTAAGGTATCATATGCATTGCTGAGATGTGTTGGGGAAGTAATGTCTTGAGTCTGTTCTTCAAAGTGGATCCAGTCGAACCCGGCTACAATGAACACTGCTTCAACGAAATTTCCGCTACAACGAAAAATTCATGGTTATCCATCAGCAGTTGATAGGAGTCAGTGCATAAATATTGTTGCCACAACGAACACTTTTTCTTCTGCCGTCCCGCTTCAACGAAATTTCACTATGCGATTTCACGCTTAGATATTTATTGCTATAAAGGCAAAAGTCATCGCTCTACAATACCCTGCGTCTATCTCGGCATTGTCGGATACACTTTGACAGGCAGGACAGCTGCTGGTGTAAACCTGTTAATGCTACTGTTTGGTTCGTTCATAAAAGCTATTGTGGGTGCTTGTTTCAGCGTGCTTTTCACAATGGCCTCGCTATGCATGGTTGAGAATCGCATTCGTGACTGCTTCTGGAAAAGAATAGGAAGCAGAGGACACTTTTTGAACTTTGAGAATAAACGTTCCTTTGTTTTGCTAGCTCAGATCAGCTATATTTTTGGATTTCACTACTACGAAATTTTTCCTTCAACGAAACTTTTTTTTCCGCGCCCCATCAGTTTCGTTGTAGCGGGGTTTGACTATGTTGCTTTTCACTCATGCATGGGCTGCCATTAAAAATTGAATCCAAAATGTACTTCAAAAGCGTTGAGGTACTGCTTGTTGCACGTTGAATTGCCTCATGAGTAACACTGGAACTCTGTTGAAGCATCTGTGCTTACCGATTGTTGTTCGTCATTGACTGAAATGTATGTTTATTTCTTTTTGCGGCATAGGAACCTCAAGGTAAGCAGCTAATGTGCATTGGCTTTTGTTTCAACTCATCACTTTCTTAACATTATGTGCTGGTACTTGCTGGCTTCGGTTCATATTGTTACCAAACTTTGTGAAAAGGAATAAATCATTGAGCTCGGCATTCAGTGCATAAAATTCAAAGAGTTGTGTTGCACTTTCCATTAAGTGTGAAAGACCATTAACAGTATTAAGCAAATTTTCAAAGGGGCTGTCAGCATTTTGTTTAAACAGTTGTCAAAAAATAAGAAAACTGTACAAAAGACTTGGGCATCAAGTTCAAAACTCTGTTAGTTGGAAATGAGCACTGTTCCGCAGTTCTGTAAACTAAGCCTGTTAGAAACGTATAAAACAGACGGAATGGAGGTACTAGCAAATCGAAGCCATTCTTACTAGGCTTGTGTGAATATTCAAGAGCTTCGTATATTTGAATGAATACACTCAAACCTCATTACGTATAAGGTAATGGGATATAATGAAATAATGGATACAACAAAGTAAATGAAATTCCCCTTGAAAGCTGCATTGAGAACTGTGCATTTTAAACCTCGTTGTAACGAAGTAAAATTGACCGGTAAATTGATATAATGAACTAAATTAGTCTATCAAATAGTCAATAAAAAAAAACTACCATCGTGTGTGAAGTATAGCGTTTTTTGTGGAGTTTCACGCTCGTTCGTCGCGGCTCTTTCAAAGCTCCCGCGCCGACCTTACAGCCCGCCCCTCGCGGCCGAGAGAGCAGTCCTCCTCACAGGGCGGCCAGCGGGTCACATGACCAAGAAGCGGTACCGCAGTTCAAAGCAATTTCCCTCTAATGACTGCAACGACTGCAATTCCGCTGCTCCCATGGGTGCTACCCTCTGCACCGAGAAAGGAGGGCTCTCAGCGACAGCTTTTTTTTTTTCTGTCTCTCTCTCTCCCCGCACGCGGTCTTGAGAGGAGAAGGGTCTCTACGTGGTGGTGGTTGATGTAGCTAGATGAGGAAAAAACGCCTAATTTTTGCAGCCCTTGAGGGAGCACGGTGCTGCATCCTACGTGCAGAGACAGAAAAGGGAGAAGCGTGGCACAGGCGCGTCGCAGATCGGCATTTGAGGAGAGCGCAAACAATCCGCCGCAGTCTTTTCTTTCCTTTTCTTCTTTTCCGTCTTCGCACGCAGTGTTGAGAGGTGCCACCGCAAGGATTAGGACATGGTGCTGAGAGCATTTTCGGAGCGCGGTATGTTCGAATTAATCGCCGCAAGTGCTTGTGCGTGCGAATTACAGGGCGTTTTCGCCCTATTGAAATACACATAGCTTTGACAGGAACTCAGCGCTAGTTCGAATTACCCGAAAGTTCGAATTAATGAGATGCGACTGAGTTTATTTTTCGTGGCACCAGTGGTCGCATAGCGGTACATTAGGCCGCGAAGCAGTTTCCTTCTTTGCATGCTTATAGGTGTGCGCCCATCTAAGCATACATTGCCACCAACTGTTATAATTGATTAACGAAATAGTGGATATAATTAAATAATTATGGCTCCCTTTCAGTCTCGTTATATTGGGGTTTGAGTGTATTACTCCGTTCAAATTCGCTTTTAAAGTTCTAGATAAGTTCAAAGTAATTGAAATGAACAAGTATATCAATCCGCATGCAACTTTTTGTAAAGGGGGCTTCGCTGCAGTAGAGGAGTGCTAAGCCGTGAAAGCATCAAGTGTATATTAGTTTTTATGTACTCTTTTGTAAAGGTATTTTCCCTGCAATCATGATATGCTACACTGCGAAAACACTTATCTAGGAAAAGTCCGCACTGCTGCAAAGCCGTACTGAAGGTTAAATGCACAAGTTACATCCTCATCGATTCATCATTTTTTAAATTAAAAAGTTTGTTATACCGGCTTATATGCTTTAGCCATAGTAAATTTCAAAATGTAACTTGTTTTATTGGTTGTGACCTGCATTCTACTGTAAGCCATATTCTGCTACTATTACTTCTTTTGAACGAAAAATAATGGCATTTGCACAGGCTTTGTTTCAATGTTCAAAGAAATATTGTCCAGGTTAGTTGAGTTATGACAAATATGCCGGGTTTTTTTTATAATATTGTTATGGGTAGGATGCAGGATCGAAGGAGTAAATACGGATGTATTTACTAATAGTTAAGCGAACAGCACTGCTGATGCAATCAGCTCGTGGCAGTCTATCCTCTGTCATCCTCCTCATCATTTGTTTGGCCATGATGCCGCTGGCACATACATAACCCCCACAGGCGAAGCATAACATAACCCCCGCAGGCCAAGCACCGTCCCTATGCTTTAAAGGTCATTTTCAGAAGCATTGGTGTATTGTAGGCTTTGAGCTGTGTGATGTGAACATTACTAGATGAAGCGTACGACAACAGGCAAGTGAGGCCAATCTCTCAGGTCTCATGTGTTACCTCATGAAGTACTTGGTAAGGTCCCGTGTAACGAGACAACATTTTTTCAGATAGGCCCACCCGATGATGAGGGGACTGTAGTAGCACAAGGGTACTGGGAGCGAAATGTACGTCTCGATGGGAGGTATCGTACTGACGTCGTTGGTTGCTCTGCGACGTCCATCAGCCGAGCACTAACGGGCATGAGCAGTTTGTGCGATCGCCTTATGGGCATACTTGCTGGTGGATGAGGTAGGGGCTGGGATGACTGGGCGCAGTGGTAAAGTCGGCTCTTCTCTATGCAGTAGGTAGAAAGGTGAAAGGCCTGTTATGTCGTGACATGATGAATTATACAAAAAGTTGTGCATACGGTACGGCGAAATCTTAGTTTTGGGGATCTGGCAACGCACACATAGCAAGCATATCTGAGCAAGTATGGTTAAAGCATTTCGTAAGGCCGTTGGTTTGAGGCTGGTAAGCAGTGGTCAGTTTATGTTGCATGCAATAAAGAACATGGGGTCTCAGCTATGGCTTGGGATAGAAATGTACGGCCATATTCTGTGAGCAGTTGTCTTGGGGCACCGTGAACCTATATAACGTCTCATAACAGAAGTCAGCAATGTCGTTTGCGCAGCTTGTTAGCAGAGCTTTCGTAATAGCGTAATCTGTAGCCACGGCTATCCATTTGTTTCCCAATGTCGATGCGGGAAAAGAACCAGGTAGGTCTAACGCAACACGGTAAAGTGGTTTCGTGGGTATGTCTATTGGTTGAAGATGGCCAGTGGGTAGTCGCAATGACACAACTACGGGGTACGACGTTGACACAACTCACACGTAGCGACATATCAGTGTGCCGTGTGAGCAAGGCTTGGCTAGAAAAAACTGTGCAGTATGCGATCATATGTGGGAGATACAAGAGGGTGTCCAGCTGTGGACTTATCGTGAAGTTCAGTGAGAACACTGCGCCATAAATGCTGAGGCACGACAATAAGAAGGTCAAGCCCATTGGTGTGAAAATTGCAGCAGCATGGGACGCCCTCTTGCAGCACGAAGTGACAGATGGAGGCATTGTTTGGGGAGACTCGATGCAGCTGATGATTTCGAGCAGCACTGGATCTCGTTTCTGTTCTTTCCCGATGTCAGCAAATTCAGACACAGAAAAAAATTGAGTGTACCGTGTTCGAGTCGGTGTCATCAAGATCATCAACAGGGTAAGGGGGAGAGGATATCGGCATCCAGATGCAGGCGGCCAGATTTGTAGACCATTGAGTAGGAAAATTCTTGCAGGTGCAAAGCCCAGTGACAAAGCCACCCCCGAGGGATGTTTAAGAATGACAGAATGTGTGATATACACTATTCGGATTCAATTTGAAATTATTCGACCAATGTCACTATTTGCACAAGCGTGGCCCTTACACACAGTACTATTAACCTATAATATGAGAGTTACGAGCTTCGCAGAAGCCTAATCTTACACTAGCTTTATCTAAGCTGTGATATAATATATACATATCATGGTTATCCACCCAGATACAGAGCTACATAATATCCTCTTTTGGTACAGTGTTACGGATATGTAAGCATAATGCTTAAGCCTTTTTCTTTTTTTTTTTTTTTTTCATACATTGATTCTTACCAGCGTCCATGAAAGCATTCAACACTTTAAAGCAAGGGTCTCAAACGGCGTGCTTACCTTTCGATTGCGGCCCGCAGCCTCACACAGAATAAGGTTTTATGACTTGGCATGTGTTTTTTTGCCAATTGCAATTGATAGCACTTTCACCTAAGATTCTACAAAGGTAGGACTGGCCTCAAGCAATTTTTATTTATTTTTTTTGTGGGAACCGCATGCGGTAACTATAAGTATAAATGTCACCGTAAACGAAAATGCATTTTCGAATCGGCATCCAAATTTGAGTTATTGTTGAAAGTGGTATAGATATGTTTTTCAAAACCTGACGTCAGATTCTCCACGGAAAATATTGGATTTAGGCTAATCGGTCTTTTAAATGGCAACGCTAGATAATTTTGTTCAAGCTATCCACCTCAAGTTTTCACCACCTTCACTGTCTCGGTCCTTGCGGAACTAAATTTCGCCAATGATGCTCGCTAGACGAGGTGACTTTGTAACCCCTACCTTAGAGGGACACTATAGAAGAAAACGACTTTACTCATATTAATGCATTACCCTTTCCCTATTCGAAAATCGCCACTCACACCGTGAGAAGAGAATCAGTAAGCCAGAAAACGTGCATAGACAAAATGTAGGGTGGCAAAGCTATCTTAAAGTTTTTGCATGAGTCACCATGATGTCATAGCATTTTGACGGCGTCTACAAGGACCTAACTCATTTCTAATCAGTGAAAATTAATTATCCAGCGAGGTAGCCAGAGACTAAACATATCAAGTTTCACGAAATTTCGTCGAGACAATGTCGACAAGTTACGTCACGTTCACTTTGAAGTCCATGACAGTCACTCGAGGAGATTTGTGCACGAAATTTAAGAATGACACTTTAACCTTGATTTTCTTTGCTAGTGATAAACGTATGATGGTGAAACTGATCTAATTAGCATTTTCAGAGGGTTATTTATCAATACAAGCCAATTTATCACTTCACTTTACTGTCGCTCTAAACCTAATCTTTGCCTCCTATACCCATTAGTGCTCGGTTGCCTGACTTGATTACGGTAATATGTTAGGTGTTTTTTTTTTTCATTTTATTTTTACATGGTTTCTAGTTGGGTGTGCAAGCTATATGAAGGGGTGGGTTATATGCAAGATAATCTGGTTCATAAGGAAGCTAGTTCAGCCCCAGGGCAGTCCTCATGGGGGCAAATACAGTTACAGGTGGAATCTATTAGAGCAAACACTTCTTGTGACAATCCGAGAAATGTTCTGGTTATGCTTAACTTCCACATAGTGAACTCTGCAGTGCTCGTGTATTTGTACAAAACCCTTAGATCGAACGGCAATTTCACTTACAAAGTTTAGCCGTTCACTTTTATAGGAGATGTTTGTAACAGGCCTCACATCACCTGTGGTAATTTATTAAACAGTTCTCCTGCAGCCATTTTCACTTTTATTTGTGAAGTGATTATTGCGTCGTGACATTGTGGTTCAGAAGATAGTCACATTGGGGCAGTCCGTTATAACACTGACAATGCCCGCTTTATATCACTTGGTAGGCTCTTATACTGTCTCTGCGAGGTTAATGCTGCTGCATTGTAGATGGTTGAGTGTTAAAATCTTTGCATAGTTATGTGTAGGAATACACATATACAGTGCCATGCACTTTAACCTGTTCCGTACCATGAAAAAGAAGAACGTTGTACCAAATTTACCTGAGAATTCCTTTCACTCAATTTGTAGAACTTATCTTTCTGAATAAAACTGCACCATTCTTTCAATTCAACAGGGTTTTTCCATTTTACCGATTCCATAAAAAGGATAGCTTGAAGATGGCTTCACCACATGGCGATACAATCACAGATAGCAATAAAATGAAGGCCGAGAATCAAAAAGCACGACATGAATAAGTATGGCCATTTAGCGTAAATAAACACAATTATGATGAGTGTTGTAGTCAATGGCTCCATCTGTGACCAATTTTTGTTGGTGAGTATAGTACTCATAAGTCATTTTGGTGCAAAATTTCATCACTATATACATCCAGGAGAGGGAAAGAATGAAGGATACACTAAAAGAAATTACATCATCATCGTCATCATCCTGACTACGTCCACTGCAGGACAAAGGCCTCTTTCATGTTCCGCCAGTTAACCCGGTCCTGTGCTTGCTGCTGCCAATTTATACCCGCAAACTTCTTAATCTCATCTGCCCACCTAACCTTCTGTCTCCCCCTAACCCGCTTGCCTTCTGTGGGAATCCAGTTAGTTACCCTTAACGACCAGCGGTTATCCTGTCTACGTGCTACATGCCCGGCCCATGTCCATTCCTTATTGATTTCAGCTATGATATCCTTAACCCCCGTTTGTTCCCTAATCCACTCTGCTCTCTTGTTGTCTCTTAAGGTTACACCTACCATTTTTCTTTCCATTGCTCGTCGCGTCGTCCTCAATTTAAGCTGAACCCTCTTTGTAAGCCTCGGTGTTTCTGCTCCGTAAGTAAGTACCGGGACGATGCAGCTGTTATATACCTTCATTTTGAGGGTTAGTGGCAGATTACCATTCATGAATTGAGAATGCTTGTCGAATGTGATCCACCCGATCCTTATTCTTCTAGTTACTTCAATCTCGTGGTTCGGCTCCGCGGTTATTACCTGCCCTAAGTAGACATAGTCTTTCACAACTTTAAGTGCACTATTACCTATCTCGAAGCGCTGCTCTTTTCCGAGGTTGTTGTACATTACTTTCGTTTTCTGCAGATTCATTTTAAGACCCATCTTTCTGCTCTCCTTGTCTAACTCCGTAATCATGAGTTGCAATTCGTCCCCTGAGTTACTCAGCCATGCAATGTCATCGGCGAAGTGCAGGTTACTAAGGTACTCTCCATTAACTCTTATCCCTCACTGTTCCCATTCTAGGCTTCTGAAAATCTCCTGTAAGCACGCGGTAAATAGCATTGGGGAGATTGTGTGCCCCTGCCTTACACCCTTCTTGATTGGTATTCTGTTGCTTTCTTTATGAAGCACTATGGTAGCTGTTGATCCCCTGTAGATTTCTTCTAGGATGTTTATATATACTTCATCGACACCCTGATTCCGCAGTGTCTGCATGACGGCTTATATTTCTACTGAATCAAACGCCTTCTCGTTATCTATGAAGGCTATGTATAGTGGTTGGTTATATTCTGAGCATTTCTCTATTACCTGATTGATAGTATGAATGTGGTCGATTGTTGAGTAGCCTGTTCAAAATCCTGCTTGTTCCTTTGGTTGATTGAATTCTAATGTTTTCTTTACTCTGTTAGCAATTACCTTTGTAAATAGCTTGTATACTACAGAGAGCAAGCTAATTGGCCTGTAATTCTTCAAGTCCTTGTCATCTCCTTTCTTATGTATTAAGATGATGTTAGCGTTCTTCCAAGACTCTGGTACTCTTCCTGTCAGGAGACACCTCGTAAACAGGAGGGCTAGTTTTTCTAACACAATCTGTCCTCCGTCTTTCAGCAGATCTGATGTTACCTGATCCTCACCTGCAGCTTTGCCTCTTTGCATGCTCTCCAAAGCTTTTCTGACTTCTCCTGTCATTACTGGTGGGGTGTCATCTGGGTTACTGCTAGTTCTTATAGTATTAAAGATGAAGCTTCAGTTGGAAGCTTCTATGAAGACGTGGAATCGGCAATGAGTAAGGTAAAAACACAGTATACAGTACTGATGGGAGACTTTAATGCAAAGGTAGGGAAGAAGCAGGCTGGAGACCAGGCAGTAGGAGATCATGGCATAGGTACTAGAAACGCCAGGGGAGAGCTACTAGTAGAATTTGCAGAACGCAATAATTTACGGATTTTGAATACCTTCTACCGAAAACGAGAAAACCGCAAGTGGACATGAAGGAGCCCTAATGGCAAAAATAAGAACGAAATAGACGTTATAATGAGTGCACACCCAGGCATCGTGCAGGATGTGGAAGTGGTTGGCAAGGTACGATGCAGTGACCATAGAATGGTACGGTCTCGAATTCGCCTAGACTTGAGAAAGGAACGACAGAAACTGATACGTAAGAAGCCAATCAATGAGCTAGCACTGAGAGGGAAAGTACAGGAATTCAGAGTCTCGCTTCAGAACAGGGACTCGGCTATTAGTGAGGAAACCAACCTTAGCATAGATACAATGAATGATTATCTGACGAGCATCATTACGGAGTGTGCAGTGGAAGTTGGAGGCAGGGTAGTTAGACAGGACACTGGCAAGCTTTCCCAGGAAACGAAGAATCTCATTAAGAAGCGTCAAATCATGAAAGTCTCTAGTACAACAGACAAAATAGAACTCGCAGAGCTTTCTAAGTTGATTAATAGGCGTAAGGTATCCGATGTAAGAAGGTATAACATGGAGAGAATTCAACACGCTCTGAAAAACGGAGGAAGTGTCGAAGCAGTGAAGAGGAAACTTGGGATAGGCAAAAATCGGATGTATGCACTAAGGGAGAAAGAAGGCAAAATAACTAACAATATGAATAGGATAGTTAAAATAGCAGAGGAGTTTTACAGAGATCTGTACAGTAGCCGGGACAACAACGACTTTAAAAGAAATTACTAGTTATATTAGGTCAATGCTTGAGAACAGCTATAACATAGCTATTTCACACAGCAGCCTTTAATAACCAATAAATTAAGGTAAATTCTGGGAGCATGTGAACCAAACACAATAATGCAGCATGTGGCAGGGAATTCACAATTGAAGTTTCAAGTTAGCTAGACACTTGCTCGCACTTCTCCGGACAGATAGATCTAAATAAACTACAGCAGATACCCAGAAGACGTGACCATTGGCTGATTTGAACAGTGACCCTCATAGTCATTGCGGCTGCTGTGGTATGCCACAATGTGCACACGCCGCAGCAGATTGTTGTGCAGTCAAGTGAGCTGCATGCAATGTTTATAAATTGGCTGCATGCAGGTTCAAAGAAAACTCAGAAATTTTTCCTGTTCGTCCCTCCCCCATCTCCTGTGTAGCTTTCAGTGCGCTCTCTGGGGCAAAGGAATAGGGAGAGCTCTTAGAGCATCTGACTAATCCTTCTAACTTTGCTTGCTCTTCACGCATTCTAAAAATTTTTGTTGCAGTCAATTCATCAGAAGTTAGCTTCGATAGTGAAGTCATTTTATGATTACTTGGAGAAGCGTTGCTGGGCTCCTTTAATGCACATGTTTTGTTTTCCCCATTTTGCACGCAGCACTGCTAACGGACCCATGACTGTGACCTTGGAACGAGGCTCAGAAGGCCTAGGCTTCAGTATTGTCGGAGGTGCGGGGTCTCCGCACGGCGACCTGCCCATCTACGTAAAGACAGTGTTTAAAGAAGGGGCCGCGGCTCGCGACGGCCGCTTGCGCCGCGGACACGCCATTTTGTCGGTGAACGGACACTCGCTGGAAGGACTGTCACACCAGCAAGCCGTCGAACTTCTCCGTGACGCCCGTGGAACCGTTGAACTCGTCGTCCTCGACACGTCGGTCTTGGAGACGGCAGCTCCAAGCCCCACGCATAGTCCGACGACTACAACGCCACCGGCGTCACTGTTCGCCGTGACTGATCAATCGTCGTGATGACGGTGAAGACGTGGTGTGCCGTTCGGTGAAGTGCGTGCAGCAACGTTGAGGTGTCACCTTCGTGCGCGTTGTGGAAGCAGTGTTATCCTCCGGCAAGGCCACGTGAGGCCTTTCCTCGTGCAAGACAAAAAAAGACTGATGTGAAACCATAGTCACTGCCCACCCAATGCACTTGGGAAATTTTTTTCTCCTTGCAAAAACAGGCACGCCCGCGGTGCACACGTTTTCAAGGGTACAGCTCGCTTTGTTTTCCATCTCTGTTTTGATCTTAACACTCCTACAAACACAATCCATGCAGCTGTGCAAGCGTGCCTTTATCCAGATGAACGGGGGGAAAAAAAGACAGTACGTCTCTTTAATTTTGCGTATGCAACTGAAGTGAGTTCGTGAATTTCTTGTTTTTTATTTTTTTCCTCCGGGCAGGTTCCCGGATCATGTGGAAGCAACGGTTTTGCAGGTGCCATTGAAGTTGTGTCGTTGCCTGGTGTGTTTTTATTTTTCTTTTGATCTTCACCAGTCTCACTGTAGGTACCTCGCACCTTCTTTTAGTGTCTTGTTACTGTCATTTTTAGTTGGGAACGTTATCACTCGTACTATCACGTCGTCTAAAAACTGGTGCCGAGGTAGAAGTCGAGTACCGCGGAGTATTTGTTGCGTTGTTCAATGGTGTTCAAAGACATGTTTTTTTTTCTTGTTGAAGGCCATGGCATCTCTTCTGCTACTTAGACGCTCTCGTATTTTTCTCACCTGCTTCTTCAGAGTCTCAAATGGATGCACGACGGTTGTGCAAACAGCCTCGACAGAAGCCGACTGATACAACGAGAACAAATGTGCTCCAAGTGGTCTGACCCGCTTTAAAGGATGAGCAGAGGTGGAACACAAAGAGGTGTTTTGAGGCTTTCCGACAGATAACTAGCGTAACCAAGAGATGTAAGCATCAAGACATGCAAGGTGCTTTCCCATGCACGCATGGTGATTGCTTCTTTCTTCTTTGTCACCAAAACACGGTGTAGCGTAGTTGTTTTTGTTTTTTTTTTTTCTTTCTAATTTTATCGGAGATGCTACATGGGACCATTGAAGTCAGGTTCGGTCAATCCCTCCATCACCGGTGAATACGTTGGCAGTTTCGCGGCATTTTCGTAGCGAGCAGGTGTACCTGCTCAGACGACGCAACCAAACTTCTCGGATCATGTTGTTGTTTGCATCCTCCCCATTTTTGAGATGGTTTAAGTCGTCTTCGCAAGGGAAGTACTGCACAAAGGGGTTATGGGAACGACTTTTCTCGAGCACTTTGAGAAGGGGGGGTGCCCTGCGGAGAGCGTTGCGGTAGTTGTAACGCTGTCAATGCGATTGTTCGGGCGACCCTTCTTGCTGTTCTGCACTCAATGGGACCAAAAACCAAGTTGAACACGTGAAAAACACTCCACACAAACACACAGACAACACTCGGAGAGTGCACTCTACACTGGTGGCACACTGGAGTCAGGGAGAGCAACAGCCGAAAGGGGCGCCAGATTCTGCATCCTCAGTTCAACTAGTGGGCTGGGTTGGTGTACTGAATTAACGCCTTACTAGCAAAATAAATCTCTCGTCTCTATCGCATTGATGCCAGTTGGCAAATGGTAACCAATGCCAGAATCAGACATAGTTGTACTCATGGCGTGGATAGCTCGAAAGAGGATTTGCGGTTAATGTCACAGAAGCGATTTTCGCTTCTTGAAAAGCAGTCAAGGACCAAATACTATTTACGAATTGCATATCGTGTCTGCGGCTCAAGAATACCAGTGAAGAATCTACACGGAAACTTTTGACGTGAACGCTTTTTTCTTCTCTGCAAAAGCGAGCTTGGTTTAATGTTACTGGTGTTGACAAAACTTTGTGCGCTGCTGTTTAGAACCACAGAACCAAACATGCAGATATGTAACTCATCATTAAAAAAAAATCTTGTGTAGAATTCTGTATGGCCTAATCATGAACAGCTTAAACGAGTTTCTATTGTCATCTGTACCACCGCCTTTACAGTTTTTATGATTAAAGCATCGTTGGGGCATCAAGTCTGCTGAATGTCCTTTTGTTTCTGGCAAAAAGATGGCGAATGTTCAAACATAAATGCTGTGACATGTCTTGACAACCAAAGAAGAAAAATATCTGGAGGTAAACTGCATGTCCTCGCCTTTTTAGCGTTTGTCGTTGCAGAGTTGTTACCTTAGAAATTGAAAACTGCAGCACTGAATATTATCTGATTACTGTGCTGCCTCGCCTCAATTTTTCCAATTTCTCAGACAGACTGTGATTTTTCGTAGCGTGTCGGAAGTTTCGCTGAGTTGACGTCTGTCTTGCGGTGCTTATCATTAGGAGTAAACGTTGTAGAGTTGAGTCCTTGAAGGAACGTAACACTCTGGTAGAAGTTACGTCCACTACTACTTCCTTTAAAGAAATTTTAATATTTCATGAGAAGAGCATCGCCTCTTGATAACAGCCCTCATCTAATGTCTACTGCCAAGGTTTTAGGATGTTTTCTTTCATTGTGCCAACTGTTGGCTTTACACGTGGCACGAATAAGTCGGTCTCACTTTTTTTTAATCTTTCCAGTGAATCCATGGAGTGTGTCTTAATGCAGGCTACATTCACTGAATGGGCAGTTTTTGTTTTAGTCATTTGCTTATATTCAAAGCACAAACTTTTACAGTTGGTGTAATTTTTATAAAGGCCTGTCCTGAACGGTGTACTCTGGATAGCATCTGGTTTACGTACCGTTGAATTTCATTGTGGCGAGTGCGACACATACACCTGCAACTGTCATGGATGCAGTATATACATCTATGAAAGATTGCGCTGTCAGTGCAGAAAACCATACAGGTGACACACTTTGCCAAGGTTTTGAAACGCCACACGCGCCCAAGCCACACTTCTGAGCAAGAACGATCGAACCCAATCAGGTGTGTTCAAATGATAGGATTTCCTCTAGTCAAGTTCCAACTGCTAATCAAATTGTTTGATGGGTTCAATCGAAGCAGGAATAAAAAATGTCCAGACGAGGCCAGTGGCTCATTTCGCAGTATTGGCCAGATTCTGACACTCACGCAGTTTGTACGGGCCGAACGTAAAGTATCTCTCATACCAGATTTTAATGCGCTCCAAATTTTATCGCAAAGATGTGTTGCACCGCCTAATAGGATGAAGCTTCATAGTTTACTGTCAAACAACCGACAACAAAATTAGTATTATACTAAACCGCTTTTCATCGTTGTCTATCAACTGTAACATGATGCACTCATCGCGTCTTATATTCTTTCTATAACCATTGCGCTGCAGTCGCCAACAAAGCAAAGGCTCTAGCCTAGGTTAGCCATTTTACCAGTTTGTCTTGCGATTCACGTTTTTCGAGAGCAGCGCGACTTTCTTAGTTAAAATTTCGTGAAATAATTTTAGCTTTTGAAAGAGTTTTCGTGATTATAATCCGGAAAGCGACACATCACTGTTGTACCGCACAAAACTTGCTGCTGCTTTTTTACGATGCGCTTGGTTAAGATAATAGCTCTGACTGTAGGTATTTCACTAACACTAAGAAATGATTTTTTATTTTGTATCCAACTATAAGGCTATATAATTTGCTGACTAATTTTTGTGTAAAAAAATAAATAAATAAAACATGTTTGCTATAAATAGGTGAATATAGGAAGCATTAAGAAATTGTAAGTTTGTTAATCAGGATACTCAATGAATCCAAATACATAATTTTTATTTAACCGTTTTCATTTGGAGGAATGGTATGAATGCTGTTGGCAAAGTGAAGTATCAGGCTAGTTAGTAAAGCAGTTCATTAATAATGCTGTTGAAAAGTTTCGAGCATTACTCCACACCTAGTCATTGCGTTTTAACACTGTACTCGTTGACTTTTTTCTAAACACAAACACAATTTCCAAGGCTCATGTGCTAGGAATGAGCGGTCACACATTACACGTGAACATACGTATAGACAAGTATTTCCAAAACCAACAGTGCCACAGCACAATCAAATTCTGCACCAGTCACCAGCAAACTGGGTGGGCTACACTAGCGCAACGATACTGTGTTGAAAATTTGCGCTTGGTATAAGAAGAAAGGAGGCAAAGCTTTTGGGAAAAAAAGCCTGTCCGCTTAACTTTTTTTTTTTCTGTCGCTGAAGACTGCTTCGAGGGCATCTTTTCAGGCGCTTCTCGAAGGACGCACATTACCTTGCTGCACTTTTTAGAGTTACCTCGTTTCCGTCGCCACTAATCGAGTATATCGACGTGCTTCAAGCACCGAGAGCGTACATGCCAACGACATTGTAGATAGCATCACATTTCTTTTGTGCTCTTTCGTGCTCTCACGCTCAGCCAACCGACACATCCTGGTGCATTAGCACGTGTATTGTGTGTGGAAGGTGAGCGTGCTTTTAAGTGTCATGTTATCCTGTTGCCAGATTTCGGGTTGAGGCATGTGCTGTTATTGTGTGTTTGGCCCTGCCCGTCAGGCGGATGTCTATTGGCTTTTCAGTGCCAGCTCGTTCAGTTATGCACTGGCATGGGAGTACTACCTCGGCTTGGTGCAGTGTTGCCAGCATGGGCTTATGGGTTATTCGTGGCTGGAGAAACGGTTGGATTAGCACAGGCACAAAATGCAGTTAAAAATAACATTGCGTTTGCTTGGAGAAGCTTAAAACAAATCCACTGCAAAGCAGCAATTCATAATTTTACGAGTGTAGCTGAACCCGTGTACGTTTTTTATGTGCTTTTATTTGCATAAGTGCTTTTTTATTAGGGGATAAAAAAAGAGCCTTAGTTTCTATACAGAAAAATTTAGCATCTTGACTGTGTTGATGATGGGCTTACTGGACTTAACAGTGTTTGCACATACTTTTCAGTTTTATTTACATATGGTGCCGTCTCTTGGCAAGATATTGCAGGTGTAGGTACAGAAGTTTCTTGCAATTCAGACATTGCGCAGTATAAATCAGCATACATAGTAACACCGTAACGTTAAAAGGTGTGAATGGGCAAACAAATGAAAAGGTTTTTATTATACACCTAAAGTTGCCACATTGCAAGCCTGCCCACTTTTCAGTGAAGTGGGCAGGCTTGCAATGATTACTAGTAAACATCCTTGATTACTAGTAAACAATTGTGCAGTACGTGGCACACGAAATGTGTAATGCAGTTTAAACTCTCAACCATTTGTAGGCTGCTTGCCCTGTATGTTGTTTTATTGTATACTAACGAACTTATAATGTCCACCTGTGCATCCAGCTGACAGTGGCATTGTACAGAATCAGACAAAGGCAAAAAGCATGAAAAACAATTTATTTTTCACGATTGGCTCCCAAATGCACGAGATGCAATGTCATGGGTGATACGACTTAGTCAAACAAAATGGTTTACAATTTCTATCAACTCTATAAATGGCGTATCGCCACTTTTACCAGTGGAATGAGTGGCCTTTATTCAGTGCCGTGCTTGCAAATTAGTTCCCATTTTATTGCCTGCTGCGCTTGTGTTCATTCTAAGCGTTACTCCAGCCAAGATCGAGGTAGACATGTGGGAGCTGTTGATTCGATGCTGGAAGCAAGTGTTTAATGAAAATTGTTTTATGAAGACTTGAAATAAAATGTCATGGTGTGGCAGTGGTGTCTCTTGGTGGCTCTCTGCTAGAAATCACTCACTGTAGATGTACATGAACATAATAACAACTGATCATCAAGTGCAAACATACGCTTACGCAGGATTCTCCATTGAAGGTGCACTGGTACGAAACTCGAATATTTTCGGCGGCTTGCTGCTCCAAATAAAAACACTTGGCGAGGAGAAGCCTACAGTGTTGTAGTGTTTAAGAAGTCAATGGACTGAATATATTTTTAATGCCACTACCTCACAAAAGCACCTGCTGTTTCAGTACCGAGGAGGTGGCTTCGCAGCGACGTGTCAACACATGTCTGACATCAGGTGGACTGCAACTCACGCTATAGCTTCAGCTCAAATGAGCAATTCGTAAACACAGAGGGGGGGGGGGGGGGGGCAGGCTGAAGTCTAATAGTAATGTCCTTAGGGCTCGTGTGGCTATGCTTCGTACCCTCTCCTCCAATCCATACATGAAAAAAAAAAAAAACAGTTCAGGTGCTGAGGGAAGGGGAATCTGTGATTTGTGGTCACTCGCTCGCGGTTTGCTTAATTACTACTGTTGTAATGTCAGCTGACGCCAAGAGCGCATGCGTGAATGTCAGGGACATGACATCATACTGGAGTTGCCTACTTAAATGACTAACTCAATAATGTGTTCATTCTCGTTTCGCCGTCTGTTACTTCAGTGGCTGGTGATTAACCGCCACGGCCAGGGAAAGGCATGGCGACGCATGCAGGGCCACTTATTTTTGACGAAGGGGACGACAAGTAGGAAGCATATCAGGTGCGATTAGAAGCTTTCTTAGATGCCCATGGAATTGTCGATCCGAAGAAGCCTCGGGCTCTGCTGGTTAGCGCCCTGAGTACCAAGACTGTAGACGTTCTGGCAGGCCGTTGTGCGCCTGAAAAGATTCAGGATCTGACATACGAAGCAGCAGTTCAAAAATTGACTGAGTACTTTGCGCTGAAATGCAACGAGATAGCGGAGTCGTATCGAGTTTTTCACAAGAAATCAGCAAGCTGACGAGTCAACGATTGATTTCATTGTCGAGTTGCGAAAGATGGCTCAACTGTGCAATTTTGGCCAGGCGCTAGATAGAATGATGCATGACATACTTGCCGCAGTTGTAATCTGCTGACACGGTCCTCACTATCGCTGCGGGGAGCGGCGATAGCAGCCGAGATGGCGGCGTGCAACGTACAACAGATGGGAAATGGACAAATGAGCGACAGTGTCAACGCACTGCTAAAAAAGCAAGAGGGGCAGTTCTTCAGGAGGCCGCAGCCAAGGCGGATGGCACAGTCCAGCAACAAGAACCAGTGGCCTTTGCTGCGGCAGTGACCACCACAAGACCACCAAGTGTAGGTTCCGCCGCGCTGAGTGTTTCCGTTGTCGGAGGCGGGGGCACCTGGCCTCTATGTGCAAATCCAACCAACACCAAGAAAACGTAGCTCACTGTGAGGAACCATCCTGGGACAACGAGGACTACGAAAAGTTTCTACTGCACCTCCGTGAGTCATGGACATCTCTGATCGGGCCATTATGGCAAACGTTACAGTGGAAAGGCGTACTGGTGAAGATGCAAGTAGACACGGTGTTAATAGTAACGTGGCCAACGCATATCCAGCACCGTCACCGTTGGCCCAAGCTTGTCAAGTCGTAGTTCCAATTGACTTGCTTCCTCGGAAAACTGCCTGTGAAAGGACAGCTGCAAGTTCCGGTGACCTACGCTGGGAAAACCGTCAACGCGACACTAGTGATCCAACGTTACTGGTTCAAGTAACGTTGTAGTGATCCTCGGTTGCTTTGGCCCAAACTTGTGTGGGCAAGATGCGTATTTATAATTGCTGGTCCCGACGATAGTTATAGCGCGAGAACAAAACTACGACACAGAGACAAGCAGGACACGAATCGTGCTACCCGCAAAAGTTGCAAAAGAGTGACTTTTTTTTTTTATTCAATCAACCACTACATCATACGCGCCACTGGTGGCGTGGTCGACGCTCATGTGTGAATTAAAGTTCAAAACTACCATCTAACTTTCGATCACATATGCATCGCGCTTCTGTCACACACCATACCAGTTCCAACTAGCCTTGCAGAAACGCGATTCCGGCTGTCACGGAAGACGCCCAGACACTCACGTCTGAATTAGACGCCAGCACATCAAACGTGAAGCGCGTTTCGGTCAACGACGCGGTTCCGAATGACATGGCAGCCACGCGCACATTTACGTGCGAAATAGACGCCAGTTCAGCCGGCCCATCTGACGTGAAGTGCCTCCTTGTCGGCAACTAATACGACGATCCACGTCGTATTAGTTGTCTTGCTGCTGTCTGTGCTGAAGGCGTCGCGGAGGCACTTCACGTTGACAGTCGGAACCTCTTCGCTCATTGAAACCATCACCGTGCTATCGCCATCTTATCGAAACCCACTCGCTCGCGCCCTTGTTACAATGTACTAGTCTACCCTCGCCGCACGGTAGCGATCCATCCAAGGCACCGAATAGGCGAGGGTGCTTCCGCACGATGGAACAGCCGTAAACACTTCTCTGTGTTTCCGTGACTCCGCGACGACGACAGTCGGCGTGTCTTCGGGAGATCAAACGACCACGAAGCGGGCAATCTTGGGGAAGTTAACAATGCCCTCTCCGAGGCTTCCGCGGAGACTCGCTCACTGGATTTCGTGCCGACCGGTTGTGCCCTCGCGATCTCCGACGACAGCGCAGCTCTGACCTACTGGACTTGCCCTACGCCATCTCCTGACGCCGACAAGAGCTCTCGTCGAGTGGTGCCCCGTCCTCGGACTCCTGCGACGGTGTCCATTTCTTATCTTCTGTTTACTTTCGTCGCTCGCTGTCCCTGCGCCTCGCTCTCTCCTTCCTCTCTCTCTATATACCTTTTAATCCTATCCTTTTAATCCCTCCTTACCCCAATCCCTTGTGAGCTACTGCTGAGGTGTCGCACACTGATGCAGACAGTTACGGGGTTCACTTTCTCTTCTTTTCCCTTTAACAAACACATAAGAAAAAAGAGGTTTCCGCGGAGTCTGAATAGGCAGCTCGAGCACCCAATGGAAGTCTTTTCATCGCTACTCTATTGTGTATCCCCGACCCCGCCCCTCGTTACCATAGATTACGGCAGGGCTGCACCACTTAGCTGGAGAGGGACAATGGCATAGCGGGGAGCATGGCTGAAAATGAGGTGCAAGTGTGCAAGTTTAGTCGGTGTCGCTGCGTCACCAGCGCGCGCGTCACCAGCACATCAGCTCCAGAGGTGGTGGTGGTGGTAGTGGTTAGAAGATGAGCAAAGGCACCTAATTTCTGCAACCTGTTCGGGAGCACGGCGCAGTGCCTGCAGCTCCAGAGGGGAACCAGTAGCGCGCGAGCAATCCCGACGCTGGTACTGGCGTCCTCCTCGCACTCTTTTTTTCCCTCTTTCGTGCGATGCGGGACCAGCAATTCCCAATACGCGGGCGGGACATAATTCAAGCATTCCAGCTGGCCGGAGGCCCACTGCTCAACGTAGACGTCAACGACGGTAAGCTACCAAATACTGACGAAATTTTCATTGCTGCTGCACTGAAAGAAGCATATGTAGATCTGTTTGCGCCAGGGCTAGGACTAATTAAGGGTTATCGGGTCCATTTACAGTTGCGTGCAGGGAGTCGTACCGCGATTCTGTAAGGCCCGCTCTGTACCATACACGATACGAGAGTGTGCAAATGAAATAATCGCAAGGTTGGTTAAAACGGGCATTTTGACACAGGTCACCAGCGCCTATTGTTCTCGTCGTCAAGAAAGGCGGATCCCTCCTCCTATGTGGTGATTTTAGAACGACCGTGAACACAGCATGCCACACCGAGCAATACCCGTTGCCGAAGATAAGACATAATATATTTGCGAATCTCGGAGGAGGGAAGTATTCAGTACAATAGATTTGAAGGATGCATACAACCAGCTACGCGACAAAAAAAAAAGTTGTTGGTGGCATGCAACCGCCTACCGTTTGGGGTTTTGTCAGCTACGGCGGTTTTTCAGAAGCGAATGGAAACGATACTGCAAGGTCTGCCAGGTATACAGTGTCTATTTTTATGAAAGGGAACACGGGAAAGCGTGGCCCGCACGCTCCGGCGGCTGCTGGCAGCGCGTTCAAGCGGGAGCGAGAGCAACCACATTAAGGCCCCTGTATTTTTCAAAGGTAGCGCAAACCGTTGTACAAAAAGCGGAGGAGAATTAAATCCCCGCCCTCTACGTCTCTCCTCACTCCGGCGAGCGTTTCTGCTACCCTATTGGACCAGGCGCGACACGTGACCAATGAACCCTGTTGACCCCTCGGGTCCGCCGGGCAGCGACGCCATGAGTGAGCGCACTGCATATCGCTCCCACGTGTGTTGCCTTTAGCAAGGCGGCCTCGGATGCAGCGCAATGCCGACCTGCTGTGCCGTTGGCTGCTCCAGCAGCATTGCAAAAGGCGACAAGCTTTTTGTGGTTCCACGAGGGAAAAATGATGAGGAGCGGGGAGCGGTACGGCTGCATCGCATCGGCAGGAAAAACTTCGATTGTCACCGAGGGACCCTTTGCGAGGTAAGCACTCACTACAGAACTTCTTCGCGTAGACATGCCTCCGGAAGGCTTTCAGATACAGCTCATCCTTGGTTCAGGTTCATGTTAAACAAAAGCAGCTCTAAGTTTCCGTCGACGCTTTCTCACACGATTTCAACCACGATGACAGCTCGATCGTTTTTAGCTTGCTCGAATATTCGAATACGGCCACAACATAATTACTGTTGAATGTTTGGCGTTCGCGATTTGCTTTCTAAATGGAACCATTTGTAGCGGAAGCAATTATGCTTCTCCAGAGATCAACCACGTCTTTGATCGTTTTTTTTTCGCTCGATTTGATTACCTGTAGGCAAAATTTCGGCGTTTATTGTTTTATTGTGGTTTATTGTGTTCTCAGTTTGTATTCTTTCATACTTATCTCACTTTTGCGCACTTCCATG